CCTCAGGCAAGGGAAACAAAATCTAAAATGAACAAGTGGGACTATATCAAATGTAAAAGCTTCTGTACAGCAAAGGACACCATCAGCAGAACAAAAAGGCCCTCTACAGTATGGGAGAACATATTTGTAAATGACTTATCCTATAAGGGGTTAGCATCCAAAATATATAAAGAACTCACATGCCTCAACACCCAAAAAACAAATAAACCGATTAAAAAATGGGTGGAGGATCTAAACAGACACCTCTCCAAAGAAGAAATTTTTCATGGCCAATGAAAAGATGCTCCACATTGCTATCATCAGGAAAATGTAAATTAAAGCCACAATGAGGTATCACCTCACACCAGTTAGAATGGCCAACATTCTTAAAAGACAACAATAAATGTTGGCAAGGATGCAGAGAAAGGGGAACCCTCTGACACTGTTGGTGGAAATGTAAATTACTTCAACCACTGTGGAAAGCAGTATGGAGGTTGCTCAGAAAACTAAAAACAGAAATAAATACCATTTGACCCAGGAATTCCACTCCTAGTAATTTACCTGAAGAAAACAAGATTCCTGATTCGAAAAAACATTTGCACCCCTATGTTTATCGCTGCACTATTTACAATAGTCAAAATATGGAAGCAATCTAAGTGTCCACCAGTAGGTGAATGGATAAAGATGTGGTACCTATACAGAATGGAATATTATTCGGCCATAAAAAGAAAAGAATTCCTACCATTTGCAGCAACATGGATGGAGCTAGAGGGTATTATGCTCAGTGAAATAAGCCAGGTGGAGAAAGACAAGTACCAAATGACTTCACTCATTTGTGGAGTATAAAAACAAAGCAAAACTGAAGGAACAAAATAGCAGCAGACTCACAGAATCTGAGAAGGGACAAGTGGTTACCAAAGGGAAGGGGTTGGGGAGGGTGGTGGGGAGGGAGAAGGGGATTAAGGGGCAATATAATTCTCAATCACAATATAGGTAGGTCACGGGGAAGGCAGTACAGCACGGAGAAGACAAGTAATGAGTCTATAGCATCTTAGTACGCTGTTAGTGACTGTAATGGGGGCGTTGGGGTCGGGTAAGGACTTGACAGTATGGGCACATGTTGAAACTACAACGTTGTTCATGTGAAACCTTCATAAGATTGTATGCCAATGATACTTTAATTATTTAAAAAAAGGCAATGGGGGGTTATGACTTCAAGTTGTAAAGACAGGGGAGAGAAAATGACATGAATGTGGTTTTGGTGGAGTCCGAGAGACAGCAGAGGTCACCACAGCAGGCGTAGGCTGCTCCTGCCTTTACTCAGACCGCAAGGATTGCTGCATGGACCAGCTGGAAAGAGCCAGGAGCCCTGAGGTGGGACGCCGAGGCGGCCCGCGAACAGGCAGCGAGGCCGGTCCACCTGAGCGCCTGACAGCAGAGGCGAATTCCCTCGCACGCGCTGGTCAATTAATGAACGTAGAAGCAGCGAGGGGGGACGACGGCTCGCCGGAGCAAGGATTTAATTAGCAAGGCTTTCAGGAGAGACAATTAAATTACAAGACACAACGGTGCACTCCGAAGAACAGGAACCCCTAAACCGACTCCTCAGGCCCCGCGCGCCAGGACCGTATTTCCGCAGCCGGGGCCCCAGCTGCGAGACGAGGGCGGCGCGGAGCAGGGTCTCCGCCGCGGGCTGTTGTGTTCCAGTGTTTCGCGGCCCACCCGGCGCCCGCTGCCGTGCCTCGGCTCCGCCGGAAGGGGGCACCGCCGGGCCGCGCACCCGGCCCCCGGGGGCCGGCGCTCAGCTGGAATAGGTTGAGCGCAAGGGGAGCACCAGGAGCGACCCAAGCCCAGGACTGCAGGGTTTCTTGCCTCGCCAAGCACAACTGGCTTCAAGGGGCCGGACTCGTGCTGCTAATAGTAGTCTGACCCGTATCTACTCGTTAGAAAAGTGGGAAGAAACCGAAACCGACTTGATCGAGGGAAATGGGGTCAGGGAGTGAGAGGACAGGGCAGTCTTGTCCACATACTGCCCCTCCCCTGTGCATTACCTTCTGGGAGGTTCTTAGCGCTCACGACCTCGCTCTCATCCCTGTCGCCCTAATGCAAGCCCCACTGTGGCACAGGGTCACCCCACCCCATCTCCTCCCTACCACCTGGTAGTATTTTTGTTTGTGACAACAGCGACCATGCTTTAACTCATATTAGATCCAAGCCACGTGGTGAATACCTGGCCTGGGGAAACACTGCATCATGATAGCCCAGATCTGTTTAAGAGGAAACGAGCTCAGAGAGGCAGAGGAAGTTGCCCAGGAACACACAGCTGTTAAGTGATAAGGTGGGCATCATGCCCCATTGCCCTCTGAGCTCTTCTCCAGCAAGGGAGCACCTGTTTTTATCCCACCCTGAGCACGGAGCTTTTCTCATAGTAGGCACTCAGTAGGGATTTGTTGAATGAATGGCAGGTGTTTCCTTGTCTGTCAGCGAGGGTGCTAACAGCTGAGAGGCTGTGTGAAATGAGACAATGTGTGATGTGTGCAAAACACCTGGCATCACACTTGACGGCTGTGAGCATGTAGTAAGAGCTGGTGCGAACGCTGCTCTAACTTGACAGTGCACAGGAATCACCTGGGGATCTGGTAAAAATGCAGATTCCAAATCAGCTGGGCCTATGAGTCTGCATTTCTAACAAGCTCCTGGGAGGTGGGATGCTAGTGATCACACTACATGTGCCAGTGAGGCTAGTTAGTCTCTCCTTCTCCCCCACTCCCCCAGCCCCATCCAATCCCACAATAGGGAGCCATCGCCACAGTTCCAGTCTTGTCTCAGCATTTGCAATCATCTGAGGAGCTTTAAAAATTACTGGTGAGGGTGGGGTAGGGGAGGTCCTACCTTCCAACAAATCTGGTAGAGTTGGTCTGGGGTGTGGCCTGGATAGTCGCATGTTATAAGCTCCCCAGAGATTGCCACTGTCCAGCCATGGCTAGAGCCACTGCAGCAGAGGTGCCTGGGGTGGGCAGTAAGGCCAGCAGGGGTTTTGGGCAAGTTCACCTGAAACAGGTGTGGAGGACCGACTGTGTAGGACACTGGTGACTGTCACCAGCTAGGCTGCACCGAGTGTGAGATTAAGGATCCTGGCTAGGGTGGAGCTGATAGTCAAGGCTCGTGATTTGTCTGTAGCCCCCCCCTCTGGCTATACAGCCCTGAAGAGGGGTGAGGCCTGGGACAGGCTGGGGAGAGTGCTTGCCAAGCGCTCTGCAGGGTGTGTCCTAAGGAGGGGCTCTGTTCTGGGTGCAGCAGAGTGAGGAAGGCAGGAGGGGAGCCAGGCTATAGGTAGAAGGAAAGGTTGACCTTGGATCTAGGTCAGCCCAGCTGGCCCCACAGTCACTCCTTGAACAGCATATTTCACCTGCAGCAACAATTTTATGATAACTGTTTGTTGAGCACCCACCATGTGGAACCACTGTACTAGACACTGCACACATGGCACAATAATCTTTCAGAGTAGACAGTACTAACAAATGGGGAAACAAGGCCCGGAGAGTCTCTATAACTTGCTGGGAGCCCACAGAAAACAGATCCAGGTCCAAAGCCATGATATTCTCATCACGATGCCTGAACTCAAGCTCTTTCCTTTGGCTAAAACATCATTGCCCTTCCTCTAAGCTTATCTAAACAGCATATTCCAAGGCTGAGCTCAGATCTCAACTCACCTTGAGTTCCTTGCCAGGCCTTGGAGAGCCCCTGCAGCTCTGGCCTGTAGTTGGCCCTGGGCACTAGGCCAGGCTACCTTGTGTTGCTGCTTTCCCTGTGAGTCACATCTGGCTCAGCTGTGAGGGCTCCAGGGCTGGGACTGCATGTGTCTCTCTCTAGGCCCTGCACCTCTGTAAGTATTTAGCATTGCCGCCCAGGAACCAGGTGGAGGAAAGTGAGGTGCCTATAGTGCAGAGTGAAGGACCCACACTTGGTGCCTGTGAACCCTACTGCTGGCTGCAGCTGGGGAAGGCTGGGGAAGGCAAGTGCAGGTGCTGCTGTGTGTGAGCTCAGAGGTCGGCAGGTGAGCCACCAAACAGGATAATCCACTTCCAAGAACTCTTTATTAGTGTGCCCGGGTGTTGGAGTGAACTTATAAGCTAATTAATATATGGCGCCTACATCAGCACTTCTGTTCTCAACAGTTTAATGTTAAGGATTCATGCCCTAATCAAAGGATGCCAAACCTAAAGGTTATTAAATGTTAATCTTCAAAATAAAACTAGGAGTAGAAAATATCACCTTGCCTGGTTTTACACACCCAACTTTGTTTAAGACCTAGTGAGACTCAGACCATCAAAGAGATGATTGACTAGTTGACAGTCATTGCTGCCCTCCCACTAGAATATAAGCAGAGACCATGCCTGTTTCATTTACCATTTTATACCCACAGCTAGATCAGCACCTGGGCCATAAGCTTGTTGGCAATATGTTTGTTAGCCTGAAGTAACAATGACAAGGTCTTGGTTAAGTAAGCTTTGGGAATCATTAAAACTTCCAGGGGAAGTGGAAATAAACAGGGTTTAAGAATAATACAAATTTGGGGGGAGGAAGGAGGGTGAGTGAAAAACAGAGTAGTGGAGACCACATATTTGAGGATTTGTAAAGGTCCCCAAAGAGGGACCTACCCTGGGGCTGACCTGTGCTGTCAGGTGCCTTCTCACCTCTGACCCTGTGGGCTACAGAGCCCTTTTGCCCTCAATTAAAAAAACAAACAAACAGTGGCAGAGACATTTACCACTGAGTGTGCTCCCTCCCACCTCTCCCAATCCTCTGCACTTGGTGGGGTCAGGAGGCCAGTCCCGTCTCTGTGGCCCAGTCTGAACAGTACAACCAGCAACATTAGTAACTTCCTGGCTAGGGGCTTCACAGCCTGATGCTCAGAAAATGCTTCAAGAGTGAAAGCAGCTCAGGCTATAAAGCACAAACTTCCAAATACATCTTGACTAGACAGGCATTGACTTGGAGGCTTTAAAAAAAGTTCTCACCTTCAAGTTACTCTGGTCTCTCTTGACCTGCCAGAGCACCAGAGCCATTAGAGAAAGCACGCCATCTAAACCATGCCTGGAACTTCGCTGTTGGCTGTGGGTATCCTGGGCTACTTGCTTTGGCGGATCATTCCCTTCCTCTGTGTTTTGCTCAAGTGAACGCTCATTCGCATTTCCTGCGCAGCCCAGTGACAGCTCAGAGAAGCCCAGAAGCCTTGCTGAAGAACACAGGGGAGTCAGAATTAAACTTTCACTAGGAGAACCACCTAGTGGGAGCCAGTTTTCCTGCATATTAGATCTGGTGCAGGGCCTGCTGTGGGTACCATTTTTTATGTGTGGTTATCTTTAAATTCTCTTCCTCTACCTTTGGGGCAATTTATTAACTTGTGTAAAGGATGAGCAGAGATGATGATTTCAGCCCAGCTCTCTGCAGGAGTGTTACGGCTTTACCATGTATGACAGCAGCAGGTCTTGGTTTTTTAGCCAGGACCCAGGAGCTGCTGCCTTGCTCTCAGCCCTGGATTAAGGGTGGGCTCCAGGCCAAGCGCTGCCATCTGCCACCCAGTGATCAAAGGCTTGTGGGTGCCCCCAGAGAACAGAGGCCCCGGCCAGCCTGCTATAGAGACATTTATCAGAATTACTGAGCACATCTCCAAGGCCACTGTAATTCCAGAGATAAAGTGAGTCTTTAGGAAAATTAAAGGCAGCTATTTTTACTCTCAGGCTCAAGCCACCCCTCAGAAGCCTCCTTCCAAACGCTAATGTTCAGCCTATGGGGGCCCTCACACGCGCTGGCCTCAGGATCCTGCCTTCAGTTTTTATCCCCCTTCGTTTCTTAACAGCTTCCACCCACTTGCTGTGTTAACTTCATACTCCACAGGCTTTTCTTTCTGGTTTGCTCATCTCTCCCAGCTGCTGTAATTTGAGGAAGGAACCATACAGACTGCTCGTTCAAGCAATTCTCTAATGTCTTGCATAACCATCTTTCAGAAAGCGAAAGAGATAGGAAAGCCACGTGTTCTAAGAATGAGGGAGGAATTCTGAGAGGAAAAAGTCAGAGTTGTCACCGGACTTCATGGACCCACGGAACGGCTCCTTCCAGGGAACCCAAAGCTGGGTTGATATTTGCTGCCTTTCCATGAGTTATGAATGAGATTTTAGTAGAAGACAGTTTTAATTATTCCAAGCAATGACAACCCTTAAGTGGTGGAATGCTATCGCTTGAATTCCATCCCGGGGTTTGTGGGCAGGGAGGCTACCTTGCTCAATGGAGTGCTTTTAACACTTTGGAGACATCATTTTTTGGTACCCCACCATAATCTCAGGATGTCAAGTAGACAGCAAGGATTACTCCCCTCCTCTTATATAGAGGCTGTTCCCTGCTGCCTCTCTCTCCCTAGCCATTCTGATCTTGCAGTGTTGCCAGGCAGACCTCTCCCCATCCCTACCGTGCTTGCCCTGGATGAAGGCTGGGACCAGAATAAAGTCCTTACAAAGTGCTTCCTCGTTTACAGTCTGTGACTGTTTACCTTAAAAATGTTAAACCAACCTAGGAGGCTCCTTAGGACATATGCAGAAACATCCTCCTTGGTTGTGGGGAGAGAAATCTCGAATGAAATAAAAGCTGACATACTCCCCCAAATATAAAACCAGTTATTTCCTTCATTGCAGATGAAAGGAAAGAGCTGTTTGCATATGACTGATTAGGAAAGGCCATGATTTGATTTAACCCCCAATCATATCATTCTCTGTGGTTAGTAATTGAGAGCAGCCTTTTATATAGGGATTGAGTCCATGTTAGCTGCAAGCAGGTGAACCTAAGGCAAAAGGAATGCAGACCGGCAAAATGCTTCTCTCAGAGTCACATCTAACTTAAAAGCCTGATAGAACAATTTAACAGAAAATAATCTTACCAGAGCACTACGAATCTACTTTGTAGGCACCCCAGGTTTTATTTCAATTTAATCTGTTAATTTTATAGCTCACCTGTAACAGCTGGAGATCTTAAAAACGGTCAGAACTGGGAAAAAATAACCAGTTCCAATTCTGTATGATTCAGCTGAGAGGAGTGACACCTAGAGACTTTCAGTGACTTGGCCAAAGTCACCCAAGTTAATGAGTAACAGCTGTGACAAGTGCATGCAGGTCTTTAGATCCCCTCACACCAGGCTACAATCTGCAGTGACACCATGAAAGATGTGGATTAAGCAGACATATCCACCAACAGGCATCCTACCTAGGTGGACAACTATGTCCGTGTACCGGAACCATGCCGAGGGACCAAGAGCTACAGGCACAAACGTGGTTTTCTCGTTCTCATAGGATCCACTCTGTGCCTCTTGTTTCTCTGGGTTACACCTCTTATGGAAGCATGGCTCTGTTTGAGAAGGGGCCTCCTCTAGCCACATTTACTCATCTTTATTTAGTTTTTGTGCTCTTATAGACATATTTTTAGAAGTTACTTCTGAATTGTGTAGGACAGAAATACTGTTTAAGAATTAGACTATGGCAACCCTCTAGGCTTTAAGGGAGGATAAGCTTTTAACTTTTCTAGTTAGGGTCTTAAGATTCAAGGGAGGGGCATCCTGACTGGCCTTGGGAAGCAGGGAGGACTCAGGTCTCCTCATCGAGACTCTGTAGGTGAACCATGATGAGGAGCATGACATTAGGAATCAACTCTTAAGAAGCATTGAGGAAGGCTTGGAGTTTACTTGCTAAGGACCTCTTTGTTTTTAGAAAGATCTTCACTTAATGAGGCTTTCGTTTATCCCAGTGGACAACTGTAGTAGTTTTGTCATTAAAAAATTCTATTTGTGGAAGTGTCAGGTCAGTTGAAGAAATCACTGGAGTGTATTCTACTCTCACTCCACCCAACCCACCCAACATAAACTTCTAAGCCTTAGGGAACACTGGTCTATTCGTTTGCCTCAACATTGCCTGCATTTCCTTTTAATTTAAGTTCACACTGGTGAAGTCTGACAAGGAATTTCCACACCCCCAGTATCTAGCCCCAACATTCCTACAAGATGTGAGTACATATGTTTGAAACTTACATCAATTCAAGTATTTAGTCTAGATTTCACTTAGTATTTTTAAGCAGTTATGAAGTAAAAAGGCCAAATGGTTTTCAAGTAAGTGATTTTAATTTTTCTCTGATATTTCACAGTCAATTTCTACAAAACTTCATACTTCCTCAAAGGAATTCACATTTGGTAAATAAATCTCTACCCTAAAGAATTCATAGCAGGAAAAACACCTCAATAAATGCACGAGAGTTACTTTTCTGCTGAAGGACTCCTAGTCGTAAGTTAGACAACACTATAATCAATAACAAGCAATGAATGTCACAAAGTACAGACGTCACTGACCTCCACTCCCATACCCAATTCAATCAGTAGGTTTTTCTAGACGTGTTTCAACACTGCCAACAAAATCTGCCAAAAGTTCCCTTAAGGGTTTGGTTTGAAATAAGAATGGCTTCTCACTGTCAGAAAACAGTAGCTCTGCCACAGTACTTCACACCAGATCAAATCATGCAATGCAAAGACCATTACTACTTACAGCTTTGTGCAACCAATGGACATCTTTCCTGTCAACTCTGAGGTTCCTCCATTTGCCGATCTGGCTTCGACCCCAAATGTCTGCTAGCCTCAGTGGATCTCTTCTTCCAAATTCTAGCTGCTCTACTCAGCTTCACCTGCTAACAGCTCCACTAGGGAAAGAATATCCACACTAACAGCGTAGAAAGACTTCCAGTACTAAGTTATAAGATCAAGAAGAGCCAGGGGGTGGTACAGCTTCTCCCTGCCACTCAGCAATGAGGATCAGTGATGGCTTTCATTACCTTTTACCATGACAGAAAGGGAAAGGCAAACCTTCATCTAGGAAAAAGAGTCCAGGAGGCTTACAGCTCCATAGAGGGTTTTACCGATGGAATAAATTTGGTTCACAGCAAGTGTTCAGATTTCAACACTCCGACTCATGACTGGTGCCCAGGCTGTTCTGAATGCACCTGTCTCTCTAGCTTTGCTGCCAAACAGATTCTGCTGAAAAGGAAGCTTCCTAGCATAGTGTACGGCACAGAGCTGCCACAGTACCACACAGATTTGGGGAAGCAAAGGAAGTGGGCCAAGAGAAAAATATTTAAAGGAGCTGAATCTGTTTAATGACAGATTTACTCCAATTTTTGAAACCCTTTTGGAAAGCAAAAGGCAAATAATTTTTTCCACGATGGGAAGAGATTTTCCCAAGTTGTTTATTTCTAAATTGTCATATCTAAATCACACTTGCTTGAGAACAGAGTGTAGGCAATCTGAAGCCTTGTCATTTAAAAATTATATTAAAGTTAAAATTACCTCATCAATGTGACCATTAGCTTCTGGCCTTGGTAAAACTTCAAGAACATTTTCCTTGCAGAAAAGATGAAGTTAGTCACACAGAACTTCTTATTAAGGTAATTTGTACAAAGATGTTCAAGAGGATGAGATTTTTAGATGAAAGATAAAAAAGTTTGAAACATTACTACTTAGAAATCTAGTTTACCCTTACAATGAAGCTGAAAGAGTGTGTATCATCTGGAAATTCTCATCACACTCTCCGTCTTTGGATGAACTTCACATAACCAATGCTACACCCTTGGTTTTGCTGCCAACATCCAACGCACAAGAGAAACCCAGAAGGCTGTTTCACCATCGCCCCACACATTGTGATGTGGGACAAATGCAAACTTCAGAAGTAATAAATTGGTAAGAATATTTTCCTATATTTTGTAAACTTATGTGTCATAATGCAGGATGATTTTAATTCAAAATTTAGCAAGCTTAACAATCACTTCTTTCCTCTTTTATAAAAAAAAGAAAAAAGGTGGCAGCAGAGGGTTAACCTACACTACACTCTCAGAAACCATGGGGCTATCTTTTAAGATTTTCACATATAATACAGGTTGCATTATTTTAAAAGAAGAAAGTGGGGAGAGGAAGCATAAATTTCCTGAATCTTCCAACTCCTGACCAAGAGATGCTGGCCATGGCTACCTTCTTCAGACTTTAAATCAAAAAAGCAATCCATCAACTGTAATTCCAGATGGTACTGAATCCATTCTATACTTCAAAAATCAGAAGCATTCTGCCTACCAGTTTAAGTGAAATCTGACTTGTGATTAAAGTGGAAGAGTGAAATGGTATTACTCTTTCCCCTTGCCCTTCAAGTTTCAGAAAACAAAGCTGCACGTGATTAAGTGCTTACACCCAGGCTCAACCTGTGCCCAAAAGCATTTAAGGTTTCATCCAAATGAAACAAGGCCTTGTGGAATGCAAACACACCTCCTCTTATTTTTCTCTGTGACTGAGGCATTCAAAAGAAGATCCATGAAGGGATCCTTATGTCACCTATTCCCTGGTTTGACAGGCATCACTCCAAAGGCTCATCCATGGCACTGTACACTTGATCACAGTAATAGTGGCTGGTGGGAGGTGACAGGCAGAAGAGCCCCACACAATCTTCCCTCCTGTTTTGCCCTGTGACCCATCTAAGTGCCTGCAGGCCAAGGAAAAGGGACTCAAGGACACTCCAAATCTGAGATTTGCAGTGGGACAGAGACATATGTAAACTGTGCACAGACCACAGCTTAAGACAACAGCCAAGTATTGGCATGTGGCTTCATAAGTGAACCACTGAAGAATTTTAGTTTAAGGAAAAGCTCTTAACATAAGTTTTGGGAAACAGAAGTAAATAACAGCAAAAGAGTTAAAAAGAACCACTCAAATAACAGGAAAATATGCCTTCTGGGTTATATGTCTGGGTGGCCAGAGAGCACTTCTAGGTGCCTGCCAGTGTGACTGGACTCTGATGTTAAAGAGGCCTGCAGCTTGGCCCACGCCTGAGGGGCCCTGCTCTGGGCAGCCTCTATGAACAGCTGAGTCTGTTCCTTTAGCTGGTCTAGCTCCACCTGCATTGCCTGGTTCTGACGAATCAACTCCTTGGTTTTCAAAGTGATTTCCAGCAAACCAGATTTGTGCAGGACTACGAGGGTATTCTGAAAGCGCCTATGTTTGCTCTGCCGCTGCTCTGAAAAGATATCTGGACTGCGGCAGAGGTGCTCTGCAGCCCATAAAGGTGAGCTGTAACTCGCGGAGAGTGGTGAGAGCGGGGAGGTGCTCTCCAACCCATGTGGAGTGCTATCTGATGCACAGACTGGACTGGCAGGGGAAGCAAAGGTCAGACTGGGAGCTTTAGCCACATGGCTGCTGGACACCGGCTGAAGAGTCTGTGGACTTCCACCTGCCACCAGGGAGGGCACACCCCGTGGAGCAGAGTCCTCGGCAAGCTTGGCACTGGAGGGGGCTGGAGCCAGAGGACTGGATGGCACAGCCCCAGTCTTGGTCGGCTCACTGGAAGACAAGCTTGGCCCAAGGCTCTCTGTACAAATTTTCTTTCGCACTCCACTCTCTCCTCGTTCTTCTGGGCTAAAGGAAAGGCCCCTTTTGCCTGGGTGTGGTGCTATTTTGGTGTAAGAATTTAGGATGGGCAAGTAGTTCCTGGAGTCCGACTTTTTGTCTCCAGTGTGACATGAGCTGGCAGGAGACGGTACAGATGGATGAAGGAATAAGAGCTGTGGCTGTGCTGAGATAACTTCAAAGGAGGGTTGGACGGTCCACGACTGGAGCTGGGATGAGCTGCTGCCCTAAAAACAAAGGAGGAGAGTAGCAGACTACTCAGTACCTGGGGAAAGGACAGACACTGGACACTTATGACTACAGGGAAAGGCAGACACTCAGATGCTTACGACAATTTCTAGGAAGGAGCTACCCTCACATATGCAAGTGGCCCTTCTAAAGAAATGACCAAAAAGGCAGCTTGAAAATCCATTTGGGTCTGGTATCATTTTCCTTTCTTAACTTTTACTAAGGGAAATTTGAAATAAGTATCTATTTTTTATTCAAGTGCTATCACTCAGAAAAGGAAACTGTAGGTAGGTGAAGTAATAACAGGTAACGTCACACTGAGGCAATAAAAATATGGATAGTACAATTTCCTTGCTTAAGTTAAATGTGCTTATCTCAAGACTATACATGTGACTTTACACCAAAATTTATTTTCATTCGGTTACGTCTGGAACCTCTTTCACCTGCAAACAACTTTTGGTTAAAAAGTTACATGTTGTTCAGAGCTCATGGGCCCATTTTTTAAATCAGTAGCACCCAGGAGCCATAAAACTATTCACCGTAGTAATACGTACAAAGTATCAGTGCCTAGGGCAGGCTAGCACTGTGTGATGTTTTACACGGGTCTCTCATTTAGTCTCCAGAATGACTCCACAACGTACTTATCATTTCCTTTCATAAACAGGCTGAGGCTTAGAAAGTTAAAAGTAACTTGCTTCATTCATGTCACCAAGCTACCGAGTGACAGAGCTAGGATTCCAGCCTGACTCAAACCTATTCTAACCATTCTGTTGTACTGCCTTTGTTATATTACTCCTCAAGTTTACATTTTTATTTTTAATTAAAGCACTGATTCAGATGGAAGCCTAATAAAGCAGGGCATGGCTACTTGTCTCCAGTATTTAAAAAGTAAGTTCAATTCCAACATGGTCTTGAAGATATGAGAGTAGATGAGGCCAGGCAAAGAGCCTGAGAGAGGTTCTCACCCCTGGTGGGGTCGTTTATCAGGAGAAAGCTATGGACTCTCTTCCCACATGTGCACACTGTTTGGCACACATGTCAGCATCTTGGATGCCTTGGTAGGAATGTTAGGCCAAGTTCAACTGTAGGTCATCTGTGTAAAGGCTGGAATGACCAGGAGAGTCCATTCTGAGCCCTTTGGGTGTTCAGATATACGCTGGGATGTATGTAAACAAGCAACGCTGGCCTAGCAACCACACTTCCCTGTCAGAAGAGATCCAAAATCAGGGGTCTTGCAAAGTAAAGATCAGCCTAGTCCAGCTCAGTCAGAAGTAAAACTTCAGGCTATCTCCTTAGTCACTCAGGCCCTAAGGGTGGACCTACAAGGCAAATGGATCCAGAAAACATCTAAGTCATTGCTTTCTAAGATGATTTCACTGGATTGTTCTTCCTAATGCTGCTGTTAGACCCACTGCCCTAATAGATACTTAGGTTATTTGTTCTAATTACTAGATTTTAACATGTATTACTCATGCAAAAATCATCTGAGGGAATATGGGACACGATCTTAGACTTGGATAGAGTTTCAGAATCATTTCACATAGAGCCTTCCTGTTAAAGATGAGGAAACTGAAGTCCATTGTGGTTAAGCAACTCTGTACAAGATCCCCCAGTCCAGTGGCAGAACTGGAATCAGACCTTCAGAAGACTATTACCTACAACCAAGCAGCAATAACCAAGACAGTACACAATATGCAGAGCTTTTTTTAAGTATATAATTACTTTGATTTTGGAATGAGCTGGATTCCAGCATGTGTGAAAAACAGAACTCCTAGACTACTCCATGAGGTCATCCTGCCCCCAAGCTTCCTATCTCCAGATTGAGCCCAGCAGCCTTCCCAGCAGCAGGTCTTTGTCCTGAAGTATGTGGCTCTGCTGGAAAAGCCTACTTACTCCTCAACTGTGGGCTGTTCTCAGCCCTCGGGAGCTGCCAGCCTCGCCTACACAAAGAAGGCAGATAAACACAGATGCATAAGAAAGAGTGACAAGGGAGCCAGACAGGAAAGCAGGGAGAAAGAGCCAGGAAAAAGGAAGCCCCAAAAAGCCTCACAGTGCTGGTGGGGCCTGGGCAATCTCATTCGGACTCCATTTCATGTCTTTATCCTCTTTCCTCATTTCAATAAGGAGAGCTGGGCTTCCAGCTGAGATGGGATTTGCCAAGCAAAAATCTTCCAATTCTTTTTGCAAACCCACCAGGTTGCCTTGCTGAAAATCAGTGTGTTCCTCAGAAATACCTAGATAACAGTTAAGACATTAAGGATTCCTGTCGGCCTAGAGCCATGGTCTTCTATCTAAGGTGGGAAGGAAGGTTAACAACAGAAAGCCAGATTTCAAATTTCACTAGCTTCAAGCAGCCTCACCAATGGACACACACAAAACTGATATATTTTACAACAAAGTAGGTTAAGGTTAGTTGTTCTTTAACCAAGTTTATATGATTGAGTTCTGTTTCAGACACTGGGGCTTAGCTTAGATTTTCATCTAAGTCTTCTTTTCTTTCATATCTAGACAATAACCCATGATATACATAGTTACGTAATAAAGCCCAAAACGAGGTACTTTTCAACTCTGCAGCAATGCTGTGTGGATTCTGCTGGTATAGCCATACCTAGACCAAAGAGCTGCTTTCTCATTAATGACATGGCCTAGAGAAAAACATGGAAATTGCCTCTACCAATTAGACAGATAGAGATATCTAGATAAATAGATAAATGCATCCTACACTTCTAAATTCCCAAGGCGATTCAAATTAAAAAGAGTTTCTTTTGTTTCTACCCTAAATTCTACCATATATTAGAATGTCCTATAGGAGTTCAGACACTTCTGCCTGGTTCTTTTATACATAACTAAGGAATTCCACAGGGACTGTGGAAAAACTAGAGATACAGAAATAAAATAGTCTCACTGTCTGAAAAATGAGAACACATCAAGATTCTAGTCATTCTGTGAAAACACTCAGCAGCTGAAGGGAAACATCGTCTCCCCGGGACAGGAGCACGCAGCACTGTGGTTGCGGTGGTCTACTTCTGAAATCTCTCCTTGGCAGACAGGGGGAGTAGCTCTGTGCGCAGGAAGCTTAGAAACTTCCATTTGCAAAGACGTTAGGAGATACAGTCCTCCTCACCTGTTTGACCAGCACGTTCTTCATGACAACCATTTCCAGGAGGCTTACAGCTCCATAGAGGGTTTTACCGATGGAATAAATTTGGTTCACAGCAAGTGTTCAGATTTCAACACTCCGACTCATGACTGGTGCCCAGGCTGTTCTGAATGCACCTGTCTCTCTAGCTTTGCTGCCAAACAGATTCTGCTGAAAATGAAGCTTCCTAGCATAGTGTACGGCACAGAGCTGCCACAGTACCACACAGATTTGGGGAAGCAAAGGAAGTGGGCCAAGAGAAAAATATTTAAAGGAGCTGAATCTGTTTAATGACAGATTTACTCCAATTTTTGAAACCCTTTTGGAAAGCAAAAGGCAAATAATTTTTTCCACGATGGGAAGAGATTTTCCCAAGTTGTTTATTTCTAAATTGTCATATCTAAATCACACTTGCTTGAGAACAGAGTGTAGGCAATCTGAAGCCTTGTCATTTAAAAATTATATTAAAGTTAAAATTACCTCATCAATGTGACCATTAGCTTCTGGCCTTGGTAAAACTTCAAGAACATTTTCCTTGCAGAAAAGATGAAGTTAGTCACACAGAACTTCTTATTAAGGTAATTTGTACAAAGATGTTCAAGAGGATGAGATTTTTAGATGAAAGATAAAAAAGTTTGAAACATTACTACTTAGAAATCTAGTTTACCCTTACAATGAAGCTGAAAGAGTGTGTATCATCTGGAAATTCTCATCACACTCTCCGTCTTTGGATGAACTTCACATAACCAATGCTACACCCTTGGTTTTGCTGCCAACATCCAACGCACAAGAGAAACCCAGAAGGCTGTTTCACCATCGCCCCACACATTGTGATGTGGGACAAATGCAAACTTCAGAAGTAATAAATTGGTAAGAATATTTTCCTATATTTTGTAAACTTATGTGTCATAATGCAGGATGATTTTAATTCAAAATTTAGCAAGCTTAACAATCACTTCTTTCCTCTTTTATAAAAAAAAGAAAAAAGGTGGCAGCAGAGGGTTAACCTACATTACACTCTCAGAAACCATGGGGCTATCTTTTAAGATTTTCACATATAATACAGGTTGCATTATTTTAAAAGAAGAAAGTGGGGAGAGGAAGCATAAATTTCCTGAATCTTCCAACTCCTGACCAAGAGATGCTGGCCATGGCTACTTTCTTCAGACTTTAAATCAAAAAAGCAATCCATCAACTGTAATTCCAGATGGTACTGAATCCATTCTATACTTCAAAAATCAGAAGCATTCTGCCTACCAGTTTAAGTGAAATCTGACTTGTGATTAAAGTGGAAGAGTGAAATGGTATTACTCTTTCCCCTTGCCCTTCAAGTTTCAGAAAACAAAGCTGCACGTGATTAAGTGCTTACACCCAGGCTCAACCTGTGCCCAAAAGCATTTAAGGTTTCATCCAAATGAAACAAGGCCTTGTGGAATGCAAACACACCTCCTCTTATTTTTCTCTGTGACTGAGGCATTCAAAAGAAGATCCATGAAGGGATCCTTATGTCACCTATTCCCTGGTTTGACAGGCATCACTCCAAAGGCTCATCCATGGCACTGTACACTTGATCACAGTAATAGTGGCTGGTGGGAGGTGACAGGCAGAAGAGCCCCACACAATCTTCCCTCCTGTTTTGCCCTGTGACCCATCTAAGTGCCTGCAGGCCAAGGAAAAGGGACTCAAGGACACTCCAAATCTGAGATTTGCAGTGGGACAGAGACATATGTAAACTGTGCACAGACCACAGCTTAAGACAACAGCCAAGTATTGGCATGTGGCTTCATAAGTGAACCACTGAAGAATTTTAGTTTAAGGAAAAGCTCTTAACATAAGTTTTGGGAAACAGAAGTAAATAACAGCAAAAGAGTTAAAAAGAACCACTCAAATAACAGGAAAATATGCCTTCTGGGTTATATGTCTGGGTGGCCAGAGAGCACTTCTAGGTGCCTGCCAGTGTGACTGGACTCTGATGTTAAAGAGGCCTGCAGCTTGGCCCACGCCTGAGGGGCCCTGCTCTGGGCAGCCTCTATGAACAGCTGAGTCTGTTCCTTTAGCTGGTCTAGCTCCACCTGCGTTGCCTGGTTCTGACGAATCAACTCCTTGGTTTTCAAAGTGATTTCCAGCAAACCAGATTTGTGCAGGACTACGAGGGTATTCTGAAAGCGCCTATGTTTGCTCTGCCGCTGCTCTGAAAAGATATCTGGACTGCGGCAGAGGTGCTCTGCAGCCCATAAAGGTGAGCTGTAACTCGCGGAGAGTGGTGAGAGCGGGGAGGTGCTCTCCAACCCATGTGGAGTGCTATCTGATGCACAGACTGGACTGGCAGGGGAAGCAAAGGTCAGACTGGGAGCTTTAGCCACATGGCTGCTGGACACCGGCTGAAGAGTCTGTGGACTTCCACCTGCCACCAGGGAGGGCACACCCCGTGGAGCAGAGTCCTCGGCAAGCTTGGCACTGGAGGGGGCTGGAGCCAGAGGACTGGATGGCACAGCCCCAGTCTTGGTCGGCTCACTGGAAGACAAGCTTGGCCCAAGGCTCTCTGTACAAATTTTCTTTCGCACTCCACTCTCTCCTCGTTCTTCTGGGCTAAAGGAAAGGCCCCTTTTGCCTGGGTGTGGTGCTATTTTGGTGTAAGAATTTAGGATGGGCAAGTAGTTCCTGGAGTCCGACTTTTTGTCTCCAGTGTGACATGAGCTGGCAGGAGACGGTACAGATGGATGAAGGAATAAGAGCTGTGGCTGTGCTGAGATAACTTCAAAGGAGGGTTGGACGGTCCACGACTGGAGCTGGGATGAGCTGCTGCCCTAAAAACAAAGGAGGAGAGTAGCAGACTACTCAGTACCTGGGGAAAGGACAGACACTGGACACTTATGACTACAGGGAAAGGCAGACACTCAGATGCTTACGACAATTTCTAGGAAGGAGCTACCCTCACATATGCAAGTGGCCCTTCTAAAGAAATGACCAAAAAGGCGGCTTGAAAATCCATTTGGGTCTGGTATCATTTTCCTTTCTTAACTTTTACTAAGGGAAATTTGAAATAAGTATCTATTTTTTATTCAAGTGCTATCACTCAGAAAAGGAAACTGTAGGTAGGTGAAGTAATAACAGGTAACGTCACACTGAGGCAATAAAAATATGGATAGTACAATTTCCTTGCTTAAGTTAAATGTGCTTATCTCAAGACTATACATGTGACTTTACACCAAAATTTATTTTCATTCGGTTACGTCTGGAACCTCTTTCACCTGCAAACAACTTTTGGTTAAAAAGTTACATGTTGTTCAGAGCTCATGGGCCCATTTTTTAAATCAGTAGCACCCAGGAGCCATAAAACCATTCACCGTAGTAATACGTACAAAGTATCAGTGCCTAGGGCAGGCTAGCACTGTGTGATGTTTTACACGGGTCTCTCATTTAGTCTCCAGAATGACTCCACAACGTACTTATCATTTCCTTTCATAAACAGGCTGAGGCTTAGAAAGTTAAAAGTAACTTGCTTCATTCATGTCACCAAGCTACCGAGTGACAGAGCTAGGATTCCAGCCTGACTCAAACCTATTCTAACCATTCTGTTGTACTGCCTTTGTTATATTACTCCTCAAGTTTACATTTTTATTTTTAATTAAAGCACTGATTCAGATGGAAGCCTAATAAAGCAGGGCATGGCTACTTGTCTCCAGTATTTAAAAAGTAAGTTCAATTCCAACATGGTCTTGAAGATATGAGAGTAGATGAGGCCAGGCAAAGAGCCTGAGAGAGGTTCTCACCCCTGGTGGGGTCGTTTATCAGGAGAAAGCTATGGACTCTCTTCCCACATGTGCACACTGTTTGGCACACATGTCAGCATCTTGGATGCCTTGGTAGGAATGTTAGGCCAAGTTCAACTGTAGGTCATCTGTGTAAAGGCTGGAATGACCAGGAGAGTCCATTCTGAGCCCTTTGGGTGTTCAGATATACGCTGGGATGTATGTAAACAAGCAACGCTGGCCTAGCAACCACACTTCCCTGTCAGAAGAGATCCAAAATCAGGGGTCTTGCAAAGTAAAGATCAGCCTAGTCCAGCTCAGTCAGAAGTAAAACTTCAGGCTATCTCCTTAGTCACTCAGGCCCTAATGGTGGACCTACAAGGCAAATGGATCCAGAAAACATCTAAGTTATTGCTTTCTAAGATGATTTCACTGGATTGTTCTTCCTAATGCTGCTGTTAGACCCACTGCCCTAATAGATACTTAGGTTATTTGTTCTAATTACTAGATTTTAACATGTATTACTCATGCAAAAATCATCTGAGGGAATATGGGACACGATCTTAGACTTGGATAGAGTTTCAGAATCATTTCACATAGAGCCTTCCTGTTAAAGATGAGGAAACTGAAGTCCATTGTGGTTAAGCAATTCTGTACAAGATCCCCCAGTCCAGTGGCAGAACTGGAATCAGACCTTCAGAAGACTATTACCTACAACCAAGCAGCAATAACCAAGACAGTACACAATATGCAGAGCTTTTTTTAAGTATATAATTACTTTGATTTTGGAATGAGCTGGATTCCAGCATGTGTGAAAAACAGAACTCCTAGACTACTCCATGAGGTCATCCTGCCCCCAAGCTTCCTATCTCCAGATTGAGCCCAGCAGCCTTCCCAGCAGCAGGTCTTTGTCCTGAAGTATGTGGCTCTGCTGGAAAAGCCTACTTACTCCTCAACTGTGGGCTGTTCTCAGCCCTCGGGAGCTGCCAGCCTCGCCTACACAAAGAAGGCAGATAAACACAGATGCATAAGAAAGAGTGACAAGGGAGCCAGACAGGAAAGCAGGGAGAAAGAGCCAGGAAAAAGGAAGCCCCAAAAAGCCTCACAGTGCTGGTGGGGCCTGGGCAATCTCATTCGGACTCCATTTCATGTCTTTATCCTCTTTCCTCATTTCAATAAGGAGAGCTGGGCTTCCAGCTGAGATGGGATTTGCCAAGCAAAAATCTTCCAATTCTTTTTGCAAACCCACCAGGTTGCCTTGCTGAAAATCAGTGTGTTCCTCAGAAATACCTAGATAACAGTTAAGACATTAAGGATTCCTGTCGGCCTAGAGCCATGGTCTTCTATCTAAGGTGGGAAGGAAGGTTAACAACAGAAAGCCAGATTTCAAATTTCACTAGCTTCAAGCAGCCTCACCAATGGACACACACAAAACTGATATATTTTACAACAAAGTAGGTTAAGGTTAGTTGTTCTTTAACCAAGTTTATATGATTGAGTTCTGTTTCAGACACTGGGGCTTAGCTTAGATTTTCATCTAAGTCTTCTTTTCTTTCATATCTAGACAATAACCCATGATATACATAGTTACGTAATAAAGCCCAAAACGAGGTACTTTTCAACTCTGCAGCAATGCTGTGTGGATTCTGCTGGTATAGCCATACCTAGACCAAAGAGCTGCTTTCTCATTAATGACATGGCCTAGAGAAAAACATGGAAATTGCCTCTACCAATTAGACAGATAGAGATATCTAGATAAATAGATAAATGCATCCTACACTTCTAAATTCCCAAGGCGATTCAAATTAAAAAGAGTTTCTTTTGTTTCTACCCTAAATTCTACCATATATTAGAATGTCCTATAGGAGTTCAGACACTTCTGCCTGGTTCTTTTATACATAACTAAGGAATTCCACAGGGACTGTGGAAAAACTAGAGATACAGAAATAAAATAGTCTCACTGTCTGAAAAATGAGAACACATCAAGATTCTAGTCATTCTGTGAAAACACTCAGCAGCTGAAGGGAAACATCGTCTCCCCGGGACAGGAGCACGCAGCACTGTGGTTGCGGTGGTCTACTTCTGAAATCTCTCCTTGGCAGACAGGGGGAGTAGCTCTGTGCGCAGGAAGCTTAGAAACTTCCATTTGCAAAGACGTTAGGAGATACAGTCCTCCTCACCTGTTTGACCAGCACGTTCTTCATGACAACCATCGGGGACAGTGTAGGGAAGGCACTGCTGGGAGTCTTGGAGTTCTGCCTTGGCCTGTCTTCTCGGCTCCAGCCTAAGGCGCTCAGCATGTCCTCGGACTCCATCTGCTCTGCTGAGCTCAGACATTCGGAGCTCCCATCTGGTGGGCAGAAGAATGGGCAGTTCACTTAGGCTCTCTAGGCTAGGGGCTCTTAACTTGGCCTCCAAGGGAGACATGGACCCTTTGAAATTGAAGCGAGCATTTGTGATACATTTATTTGTGAATTTTTCTGAGCAAGTCTTCAGCTTCCATTGAATTCTCAATGGAATCCATTATTATCCCTTTCACCCCAAAAGATTAAAAATCACTGTCCTAGGACAGCAGACTTCCTTTCTAGATCTATTACATACAAAAGCCAGGATCAATTAGGGTTCATAGGAGGAGGGGAGTGTATGTGGGACCTGAGGCAGGATTAAGACCTTTAGAGACTCTGGACACAGGATATAATCATAAAAACAAAACCAACCTGCAAACCTCAAAACTTACATTCTTGCTGAAATTTAAGTAACTTCTTCCTAAATTTTCTAATTGTACTATTCTGGCTAAGTTCATTAAAGCTGGCATTGGGGAATGTGTCTTTGTTTTCTCCCTCCACCCATGTAAGTACCCCTTTTGTTGGTGTCTTAAGTGCACGCTGACTGTGCCTACTGGGAATCCTGCACAACGGGTGATAGAAAGATACTCCCAAAGACAAAGAAAATAAGGTCGCCCTACGTGAAATCCATACAAAAAGGAGTTAATGAGCTACCTGCTGTAGTGAGCCAAGAGGCTGCTACAGCCCTGCTAATGAGGACTGTGGTAATGCCCTAAATGCTCAACAAGAATCTCAGAGTAATCGGGATGAGGCAGGACTGGAATGTGGCTATAATTTGAATGAGTGCAACTTTAACACTTGCATTTAAACAGAATCTCCAGTGATGCTTTTTAGGAGATACGGATATTGCAGCCTGCCCTCAGTCTACTAAGTTAGCTTACTCGATGCTGAGGCAGGGGTGTTTTCACAAAGCCCCACAAGCAATCTAAATGGCCAAGAAACCAAGGACTTCAAAAGCAAAATACATAAACTGAATGCCATTCTGCAAAAAAGGAAAGCAGGGCTCCTTGGGGAAACAGCTGATTCCAGGCCTTCGCAGGGGAGGTACAAGATGAGCCTGGACATCTCACTCTCCCAGGAAGCAAGGAAGTACTCAAACACAAATGGGGATATGTCAAAAGGACACAGGAGTTCTCCAGAAGGGACGTTCTCTGGCCACATTTGGGACAATCTGAGTATCAAAAAGAACAGTGCTAATGGATTGACATACTCAGTTACAAAAGAATTTCATGAATCCATAGTGATATTCAGAAAATGAGGAGGGAAAGCACTTCTTCACAGAAGAATGTCAGCTAACAAAATGTACAAGGAATGATAAAGTTAGAACACTGTTTTTAAACCCCAACTGTAGTAACTCATGCAGGCAGGATCATGAGTGGATGCTAAAATCACTGGTCTAGAGTTTGTTGGGGAACAGTACAGTCATACACCTTAATGTGTCATCCCATAAATTACTTGTTAAATTACAAAGAGAAGAGAATACAATAAAGAAATCTAGAATACACTCACACAGCACCTTAACCAAGTGATTAAGTAGAGCGTCATCAAGAGTAAGAAAGACTTAGGGTCTCCTTATGTGTTGCAATGGGAAGGATGTAACATCAAAAACACAGTATTTTGGTAAAATAATGCTTATCCTGATTCTAATAATGGAGAGACACTAGGAAAATCTAGAGTGTGAGATGTTTTACAAAAAATAGGTCTAACTCAAAGATAACAATGTTCCTTTTTTTTCTTTCTTTTTTAATGACAAAGGATCAGAAAGGAAGGATGAGGAAGCTGTTCTAGACTAAATAAGACTAACAAGACAGGACAACTAAATGTAATGCACAACTCTCAACTGGATCCTGGGTACAAAACAAACACGTTTACAGACAAATAGCTATAAAGGACACTGTTGGGACAATGGGAAAAATCGGAATATGGACTATGATGAACTGTATCAGTGTTAAATTTTTGGGTATAATATTATAATTATATAGGAGAATTTTGCTTTAGGAGATTCATACTGAAATATGTAAGGTGAAATGTCAAGTGTTTGTAACTTTCAAATAGTTCAGTATATATTCTATATATATATTTTACATATATGTGTATGTATATAGAGAGATATAAAGCAATATGGCAAAATGATATCACTCAGTGGATCTGAATGAAAAACATCTGTGTATTCATTCACTTTTCTGTAGACTTCAAATTTTTCAAAATATAAAGTTGGGAAAATAATTAAAATGGAAAAAACTATCTTGGATTTGAAAATCACATCACAGTCCAAGGTAATTGGAACGATAACTCAGGCTGTGATGAAATCGCTGGCACTGGCCCACAGGGGCTGGAGGCACTCACTGGGGCCACTTTCTGGGCGTATTGAGTTTGATTACTTTTAACACTGCCTTATGTTTGAACAGCACAATACTTCTTTGAGTACTCCTACGCAGAGAATATGGAAACTACCAGAAACACGACCCAGACTTTGGGACATACTACAGAACAACAGGCCTGACAAAGCTGAACTTGTGGGAAGAAGTACCAAAATGTCAACAGTACTGGGAATAAAAGGTGACAGGATTATGGATAATGTTTATTTTCTTCTTCACATGTTCCTAAATTTCTAAGCTTCTATGATGAGCATGGTTTACCTTCATGATATGAAAAACAAACATGGTATTAAAAGAAAAAAAAGAGACCGTAAGCCTGCAATGTTTCCCAAACATGTGTGATCACATGAATCACCCGAGACACTTGTAAAAAAATAAAACCCATATTCGAGGCCCTCCCCCAGGCCCTCGGTATCACAGTCTCTAGGAGAGGTGATTAATATTTTTAACAAATGCCTTAGATGAGCCTTATCAGGAGGCAAGCTTGGGAAATCATGCTAAGATATAAAGAAAAACCTAAAGGGCCCTCCCTCCCTGGACTGTCCTTATTCTAGTCCTTCAGTGGGTCAGTGTTCTGTTCCTCTCTGAGCAACAGTCTATTTATAATTTGGCTTCCCATGCAGCATGCCTACAGGGAGAAAATATACCAATCTAAGGGTCAGAGAGTTTTCCTAACAGCTACATTTCTCACTAGAAATTAATAGGCCAAAAAGATGGGCTGATTAGCTTCTGTGAGGCTAGATATATAAATCTTCCTCCAGGAGAGGGTTCCACTCTTCACGATGCTGATCCAGCCAGAATCCCCTGACCTCACCCCTCTGCATCCCCTGGACCAAAAATGTGGACAGTAAAACCATACTCCAATCACTACCCTCAGACCTGGAAACACAAGTGCTTCAGCACAAAACTAAGTTCCATGGGTATGCAAGTTAGCCCTTTCGGGTGAAGGTTTAAAACAAACCAGTGAGGGAAACTGTTCTACTTTCTTGTCTCTAATAGATTCTCAAGTCTGAAATTGAACCAGGGGTCTCACAGTCCAAACACAAGCTGCACAGATACTGGTAGGGATGGATTGTGGGGGAAAACATTTTTAAACACAGCAAAATTACTTTTTTAGCAAAATAAGTTCTTAAATTATATACTACGCTCATTTAATCTGTTACATGGTGACAAAATGCAGTAGTATTTTTTCTTTTCCAGCAATGTAACCATTCCTATGAAAAAGGAGCTAAGACAACAGAATAATGAGTACTTAAACATTTTTTTCCAGTAACACTTGCAAGAGCTAAAAGCGTAAGATTTAAAGTTGAGAGTCTTGAGTTGAAAAATGATGCCAATTATTCCTTCAGAAGTAACTCCATGGTATGTCAGCTTTATTTCAAAAAAAAGAAAAAGAAAACTTAAGAAAAAGAACGAACCCCATGGTGACTCTGATGGGTATATAATCTGCCATATGGCATCAGAATTGCCATTTTAAGAGCTCAGTTATTTATCCTGTACATGAAATCTTCCCATCTTTATCCCACAAATGAGTTTTAAGGGAGGACATCTTTCAAGCAAATCATTTATTACAATGTAGAAAGAGTAAGGTATTTTTAACCTGAAAATCCAGAGTCCTTATCTGACTCGGCGGCTGCCATGCCGAGCTGCCGAGACACTTCTTTGGTGTCTGTGCCTTTGACTTGTCTGGCTGAGGGCCTTCTGGGGCTCTCTCTGGATGAGCTTTTCCTTTCCATATTTTACTGTGAAGGAAGTGGATTCATCAGTATGCCTTTCATCCGACTGCCCTGTGAAAAACAATAAATTACATAAGAAGTCACTGCCTGGAGAGCTGAAACAGGTGATCCAAGTGGTGAGTCAAGTAAGGGTGAAGAACACTGGCCTCACCCACTCCCTCTGTATTTTCTCAGAGGTCTCAACTGACGATGGCTTCAAGTTTACCAAACAGTAGAACGTTTCTACCTAAAAGGGGGTACAACACCCCCTCAATGCCCTGTAATTCCATTATAAACTCAAGGCACACAAACCACATTCAGTGGAAGCTTTGTGAACTGCTAACAAAGGCACATTTGATCAAGCTTTCTGGAATGGGTAACTCATCCTGCTGCGTGGGGGAGGGAAGGCGAGGTAATGCCCACCTCGGACAAGCCTGCTTTCCCAGCATACCTCCGCAGGCTCCTACTTACTGTGGTCACCTCCCATAGTGTAGTTTTTCAAATTAACCTTTCACTCCTGTGAATGGGGTCCTGAACAGAGTAAAAACAACTCCTTGTATTGCATGCTACATTTTGACTTAAAAGGCACTTTTTTGTACAAATTAGATCGTATATAATAGTGTTTTGATTCTGTAAAAGCTTGTAACATTATTGCCATTAATATTAGCTGACTTGAGCCTCATCATGATCTCCTCAGTTGCTATCTGAGGAAACAGGCTCAGTTAACTTATAGTCAGTCAATTAAAAATATTTATCAAGTGCCCGCTGTGAACCAAGCATTGTGCTAGGACTGGGGATACGCAGTGAATAGAACAGACACGTTGCTACCTTCCTGGAGTTTAGTCAAGAGAGACAGACATTAATCAAGTAATCACAGTTAATTTTGATAATAGCTATGAAAGGAGAGGGGCTCCTGGGGGTGGAGGGTGTTGAGGCTTTCCTGAGGAAGTGACATGCAGCTGGCACCCAGAGGATGAGGGAGTGAGCAGTTCACCAGGGAAAGGGGGAAGGGCAGATGGAGGTATGAAGGTCTTAGGGAGCAAGGAGCCTGACACATTCAGAGTTGAAAGGCCAGGGAAGCCAGAGCACAGTGCAGGGAGCAGAAGGCTAGAGGGGCTGGTGGGGGCCAGACAGGCAGGGCCTTGTAACCCATGTTGTAAAGGTTTTTAACTTAAGAGCAATGGGAAGCCACAGAAGGATTTTAACCGGAAGAGTGACATGATCAGATCAGCATTTTAAAAGCATTTTGGATACTGGACTGAGACTAAAGTAGAGAAAGGCAAGAATGTCACTGAGCTCATTCAGATGCTACCATGATAGTCCAGGTGAATTAGAGTGGTGGCAGTGGAAATGGAGAGAAGTGAACAGATTGTAGACATTGTTAGGAAGATGACTCAATTTAGTGGTGACTATGTGTTGGGGGGTAGATGGTGGTACCATTTTCTAAGCTAGGGAGTCCAAGAGCACAGAAGGAGTTGGGTAGGGCGGCTAGGCTGATTCACATGTAGAGAGATGTGACTGTGGGCCATCCAAGGGGAGATGCTGGGCAGACTGTCACCTGTCCAAGCTGAGAGTTCAGAAATTATAGAGAAGCCTAGATTTGACCCTGGACACACAGGTGGGCCATAGCAGATCTAGAACTAGGATAACAGTAAAAAGAATGAGACAAGTGAGCTCTTCAAGGGCTAGCAGAGGCTGAGAACATTCCAGATATTTTAACAAGACCATTTAAGTCACCAAAGGCAGCTAGCTATAAGGGTGGCATGATTAAAACACTGTAGGGAAGAAAGAGAACAGGAGGCCAAGAGGGAAAATGACCATGTTAATGAGATTAGGTAGGTGCTGTGGTCTGAGTGTTTGTGTGCCCGCCCCCAATTCATATGTTGAAACCCTAACCCTGAAAGATAATGGTGTCAGGAGGTGGAGCCTTTGGGAGGTGCTTCAGTCATGAGGGTGGAGCTCTCATGGATGGAATTAGTGCCCTATAAAAGAGGCTCCAGAACAAAATAGCAGTAGACTCACAGACACAGAGGAGGGACTAGTGGTTACCAAGAGGGAGGGGTTGGGGAGGGGGGAGGTGGGAGGGGATAAGGGGCCCAATAATTCACAATCACAATATAGGTTGGTCCCGGGGATGGTAGTATAGCACAGAGGATACAGTTAATGATTCTGTAACATCTTACTATGTTGATAGTCACCACACCGGAGGGGGTGAGGATTTGGTAATATGGGTAACTGCTGAACTGCTGTGTTGTATATATGAAACCAACATACGATTGTATAGCAATATTTTAATGGGGAAAAAATAAAAAAGAGGCTCCAGAGAGATCCCTCACCTTTTCAGTGAAAAATCTGAGGCCTGGAAGACAGTCCTCACCTGATAGCAGACTTCTAGCCTCTAGAACTGGGAGAAACAAATTTCTACTTTTTACAAGTTACCTAGTCTATGATATTATGGTATAGCAGCCTGGATGGGCCACGATACTAGGTGTACACTACACCTAGTGACATTTTCATTCACAATCCACTTGCGACTCCAATGATTTGTCCTTCTGGGTAGAAACACAAGCTCCCTTCCAAAAAGCACTGTATCAAGAATACCATGAAATGTCAAGTCCAAACATTTCTGCTAATACAGGATCTACTACAGAAGCAGAGGAATGACTTGAAATAAAATTAAATAGAAGACAAGGAAGTTTCCAGCATCCTTGAGCAACCCTCTTGCTCATACTTTTGTAAATAGTGTAAGTGGAGTAAAAGGATCACACGCTGCTCTGAATGAGGCTGAATTTTAAATAGTTTCGAATAACAATTATTTTGTACCATATCTAACTCATTTAAGAGGACTGGCTTCCCCATTCAATCCACGTCAAACCAAGAACTCTTTCACAGGTCACATGTCCTATGTGCATAAACGATAATGGCACTGCCACATCTTGCCGAGCACTGTGTAAAAGCATTGTCTCTCTACTGGGAGGCTATGAAGTTTGACAGCATGGGCAATCCAATTTAAAAAGTAGACTAAAATATAAAACTCTATCTCCAACTAAATCAGGGTACTTTTGTATGAAACCCAACAAATGTGCATAGTTTCATTTCCCTGAAATGTTCAAAGAGTGAATAGAAGGCTTCTTCAAAATGGAAGTAGATGTAGTCTGTGGATGGGCATTCAGATAGCCTCCAGTCTGACCCAGCCGCTGTTGATTTAGATTAGGAGGGTAGCTCATATTAGTTGCAACTAATTGAGAACTTGACAAAGTTTCATATTATCTTACTAAACATGGACTCTTTTACAGGTATTTTAGAAAAGCCTCCCAGTTTAGTCTTCTACAAGACAATTTAGTCTTTCTTGTGACAGCAAAAAACATCTTGCACTGTTACTGAAGGTTAGTCAACAGACTACAGGAGACACATAGGGATTCATTCTATCTGGCTCACTGAGAAATTGCAAGACAATGTGGATTGTGAAATCAAAACACTGAAATTTTGACAAAGAGGTTAAAAGGAGAACAGATGCAAAAATTTCAGATCCTGGGGAATTTTGGTGGCAGTTGGAAATAAAGAATGCATAATCTACTTTGAGAACAATAAACTGACAAACTTAGATCTGAAAATGACTAAAAATAGGAAAGCCTTTGTATAAATTAGAGTTCTCTTTAAGCAGCAGAAAAAGCCTTGCATCCCAGGGAGGTTCAAGTGGGATGGAGAATGAAGGGCTACATCCTACCTTGACCCTCTGTTTTGGGAGGAGAGGCACTTCTGTCTTGGGAGTGGTGCTGAGGACATCGATTAGCCAGTGAACAACAGAACCACTCATCCACAGGATACATGAAGCCCTCGCTGGGAGGGAAGTAGACAGAGTGATGGCATTTACTACCCCAGCTCTCAGACACACCACCATGCAAACAGCAAAGTCTGATGACCTCAAGATTTTTCCTCCTTGGTATTAGTTTACAATAAAGTTAAATACTCATAAGCAGTGGGGGTTGAAAATGGGTTAGGAGGCTCTTACCGTGCCATCTCTGCTTCCTGGCACAGACTGGTAACCACTAATGCTGCTTTACAAACATCTCAGATCCTCACATGCCTGACCCTGCATTAGAAGGACTCCAACCTCAGCTCCTCAAACTGTCAGAATCGACCTAATTTGGTCTCTTCTAAGTGCATATGTAACATAGAGTCCAAAAGGTTCCCAGAGAGTACAGTACACACTGAAACTCATAACAGAAAGTAAATCAATAAATACAGATGTTTATATAAATATTGGATAAAATTCTAACAAGTGCTCCAAGCACTTGGCTCTTACGTCTACGTTTGCATTTCTTACATTAGAGTTGAATTATTTGTGTTGTCAATCTCAAGAGTTGTTTTTTCATCTTTGCAATCTCAGCCCCCAACAATTGGTGTGTGAGATACTCAACAGAATTATAAATTCCAACAAATCTTCTGTCCTGCTGAATCTTGCTGACAGCCCTAGCAGCTTAGCTGTCACCAAAATACCCAAACAGCTTGAAGGTCAAGATTCTGCATTTCCAAAAATCATGGTCACCCTAAGGATCTGACTTCTAGGTTTGGTGTCCTGCAGGAAACATATCTCATCTACCCCTCTTCTAAGATGAAACCTCAGGGATGAATCCACCAAATTAATGGGGGGGTCTAATCAAATTTCTATGGATTGATAAAGAGGACACCCAACGTTTACAAGCAAAGGATCTGAAATGCTGCTCTCAGATCTCTTTTTATAGGTACTTGGCAACTTCCCTGAGAGCTCGAGTTCCCTTCAAAAGGTGTCATGTGTATATCATGTGTGCATGGACAAAGGTGTGAGATGAAAACCCAAGCAGAGGCTTAACTACAATAAAGGGATAAGGCCACAGATAATTAAGAACTTACCACCCAAAAAACCCAGTGATTCTGAGTAATCCCAGTCAGAATTATAAACATATTACTAGGTTTTCTTGAAGTCATTTTCTCTTGGTCTGCATATTTGGAGATACCATTCTGGGGGAATGTCTGTATTTTAACAGAGTGGGGGAAAACCCCATTTACCTAACTCTCTAATATTCATTTTCTTCTTCACATCCATGTCCATTCTCCAACTTGGCTGCAGATTCACGACAAAGATCTCGAACCCCAGTTTTATTCGATGTCCTCTGTTAGAGACCAGGTATAGCTCACTCCATACTCCTTTCAAAGAGGAGATATGGAGAACTTCCCCAAATTCCATGCTTTGAGGAGGGTTCACAGTAACAGTGCCCACCTCCCCATTCACACCAGCCCACGCTGCATCTGTGCCTGACAGCAGGAGCACCCTCCAGGCATCCGCCAGCCTGCCAGCTCAGCAAGGCAGAACTGGGCAGACCCTGGGACTGTGCTGTGACTGGCATACCAACAGCCTCCCAGGGCAAACGCCCAGGCAATGTGTACTGCCAGGACTTGGGCAACAGGGATCCTGGCTGCAGCCTGTGCCCTGGGTCTGGATCAGAGCTCCCCACCAACCCACCCACCACCAACCAACTCCTTACTTGGCACTGTCCACCTGCTCCTGCATCTCCCCGTCCCCTGCCACCACGTCTGGCAAGCTGGCCACCCAGGGGAAATAACCAGCCAAATGGGTGACAGCAGGTCTCTGGAAAAGAGCACACCTGTGCTCCGGGCCCAGAACGGGGCAGTACCCCCATCCCCACAAGGGAGGCCCAGGACCCTCACCGGTTACCAGCTCCCGTGCCCACTCACCTGCCCCTCTGCTCACTGCCCCTCAGGCCTTCAGGCTCTCCCCCGCCATCCGGACGCCCGGCAGGCTGTGGCCCCTAGGGCTAGCCCAGGACCCACCAGCCCTGGCGGTCTTCCCCCGCTGCTCCTCACACAAGCCCCCTCCTCACCCGCGACCCCGCTCCCACGCAGACCCGCTGCTCGCAGCAAAACCAACAAACTACATGGGGGAGGGACAAACCACCTCCTGCTCCCACCATTTGGCCCTCTGTCCCCCGAAAGTGCCGGTTCTCTCTCTTGCCTACCTCGCTTCCTTTTATCTCTCCCCGACTCCTAGTCACTTCCCCACGCTCCTCGCCCAAACCCTCTCCCACCCCTGGCCCAGCCCGCCTGTTCTCACCTACTGCCGAGGTTGCCGCTCCACCACCGGCCCTGCGGGTCTGGCGGCGCATGCGCGAGTACGGCCCCGCGGCTCCATGACAACCCCGTGGTCGCCGGGTCTCAAGCTATTCCCCCAGCGTCCCGCCCATTTCTCCCCACGCCTCCGCGACGCTTTCACCAGCCGCGTGATGCGGCTCGGAGGACCCGGGACCATGGAGACGGCCCGCTCTTCTCCTAGAGGGGCCCTTGGAGGCGCACCATATCCCCGCCTCCTCCAAAAGGCGCGGCCTGCAGCCTGGCTGGGAGGTGCGGACATTCCTAAGAGGCTCGCTTTCTCTCCGCGGAAGGAGGACGTCTCTATGGTTTTCCAGGCCCCCGCCGCCATTTTGCACAGGGTACCTTTAGAGAAGAGTAGCTGGGGCACGGTTTTGAGGCGGGGTTTGGCGAAGACGGGGGTGGGCTGGCTTCTAGCCCACAAAGCTGGAGGCGACTTTCCTGTGGGAGCGGATGTAGGTCGGCCAGGTGAAACGGCTCTCTCGGTTTGTACGCTGGGACACTGTTAAGGCTGGGCACAGGGACAGTCCATGCTGACTTGCACGCGAGCTGTGGAGGCGGTGGCCGGCGTGGGAGGGCCGGCAGCCAATCTCGCCGCCGTCTCGGACTGATGGAGGCGTGACCTGGCCGCCCTGCGCCCGGCTCACATTTTCGCCACGCCTGTCTCTGCGGTTGATACGCCTTCCGAACTAACCCGTGAGACAGCGCCTCACGAGGCAGGGACGTAGTATTTTTGTTAGGTGACTTCATGTCATTTGATGTACGGCTCGCTTTGTCCCATGTGACTGTCGAACATGTGTTTTCTATGGATGCTGTCTCCCATGCCGGCACTTGGCCAATTGTCACTGAACGCACCGTGTGACAGCCAAAGAAGAAAAGGGATTGGAATAAGTGGAAGTGCTGATGCCTTGAATGGGTGAGGGTTACTTTTTAAGATTAGAAAAAAATTTACTTAAGTGGTGAAAAAGAGGACACGCGTGAATTTAAAGTTGATAGGTGGAGGCAAGTTCTAGAGCTGCCCTGTCCAATAAGGTAGCCACTTATAATTAGAGGGTATTGAACTGATGAAAAAATTCAGTTTCTTATTCGCAGTAGCCACATTTCCTCAGTAACTACATGCAGCTAATGGCTGCTGTATTGGACAGCACACATTCTAGCACATTGCCAGCATCACAGAAAGTTATATTGGATAGTACTGATCTAGATGAAGGGGCAGAAGGAAATAGCCCTGTGTTGGTAATCCAAGCCTTTCTAAGCACTGCGAGATCATAGTTAATCACATTAGTCCTCCAGACACACAATGCTAAGACATTACTGGGTATGAATGTATTTATTAGCATTAACTACCAATAAAGGATAATTGAATGCTTACAGTATATGAGGCATTTGTTTAGGGGATGGAGGGAATGAAAACAATAGTTAACAGTTGTCAAGTAATTAAGAACCAGGCAGCTTTACATACATTTCTCTTATGCCTGTACAAATTCATGATGATTGATGTTATTATCATATCCTCTTTATAGATGAGGGTACTGGAGTTTATGCCTATGACATGACTATGAAACCTGGGGTCTTGACCATTACCCATAATGCCTCTTTCTGAGGCAGAGTAAAACAGCCTTTCCTTTCAAATACCTTGGAATCTGATGTGGGAAATAGACATATTCTAATACAGTATGGGAGAGAATGTGATAAATGCCAGAGGAATCTGAAAAAAAATCTAATAAAACCAAGGGAGTGAAAATAATAATTTCAGCTTGTTCTTTTGTTTGTTAGAGGAGGAAGAGAACAGGAAGTAAAACTTTAAGGACAGATGAAAGTTGGACTTAAAGTGGGTAAGAGCATAATGAATACCAGGCAAAGGAGAGTAAGTGAAATAAATGATTGCGTGAGGATTATTTTAGTTCTCCAAAAGGACAAACAAGTCAAACTATCTTATGAGAGCAGCCATATGGTATCAATAACTTAAACTTCAAAGACAGGTTTAGTAATGGAACCAATTGAGTCAGATCAGTTTACTGATAGGCAAATTTTTATTGAACCACTGTATGGTTGTATATAATTAGATATATAGAATGCACAGTTCATGAACATAGATGATGAATATTTTTATAAAGCCAAACCAGTATAAAAACTAATTCACCAAGAACAGATCCACAGACCAGTGGAACAGAATAGAGAGTCCAGATATTAACCCAAACATATATGGTCAATTAATATACAATAAAGGAGCCATGGATAAACAAAGGGGAAATGACAACCTCTTCAACAGCTGGTGTTGGCAAAACTGGACAGCTACGTGTAAGAGAATGAAACTGGATTATTGTCTAACTCCACACACAAAAGTAAATTTGAAGTGGATCAAAGACATGAATGTAAGTCATGAAACCATAAAACTCTTAGGAAAAAACATAGGCAAAAATCTCTTGGACATAAACATGAGCAACTTCTTCATGAACATATCTCCCCGGGCAAGGGAAACAAAAGCAAAAATGAACAAGTGGGACTATATCAAGCTAGAAAGCTTCTGTACAGCAAAGGACACCATCAATAGAACAAAAAGACATCCTGCAGTATGGGAGAATATATTGATAAATGGCATGTCCAATAAAGGATTGACATCCAAAATATATGAAGAGCTCACACACCCCAACAAACAAAAAGCAAATAAGCCAATTAAAAATGGGCAGAGGATCTGAACAGACAGTTCTCCAAAGAAATTCAGATGGCCAACAGGCACATGAAAAGATGCTCCACATCGCTAATCATCAGAGGAATGCAAATTAAAACCACAGTGAGATATCACCTCACACCAGTAGGGATGGCCACCATCCAAAAAACAAACAAGAGCAAATGTTGGCAAGTTTGTGGTGGAGAAAGGGGAACCCTCCTACACTGCTGGTGGGAATGTAAACTAGTTCAACCATTGTGGAAAGCAGTATGGAGGTTACTCAAAAAACTCAAAATAGAAATATCATTTGACCCAGGAATTCCACTCCTAGGAATTTACTCTAAGAATGCAGGAGCCCAATTTGAAAAAGACATATGCACCCTTATGTTTATCGCAGCACTATTTACAATAGCTAAGAAATGGAAGCAACCTAAGTGTCCATCAGTAGATGAATGGATAAAGAAGATGTGGTACATATACACAATGGAGTATCACTCAGCCATAAGAAGAAAACAAATCCTACCATTTGCAACAACATGGATGGAATTAGAGGGTATATTATGTTCAGTGAAATAAGCCAGGCGGAAAAGACAAGTATCAAATGATTTCACTCATATGTGGAGTATAAGAACAAAGAAAAAAACTGAAGGAACAAAACAGCAGCAGACTCACAGAACCCAAGAATGGACTAACAGTTACCAAAGGGAAAGGGACTGGGGAGGATGGGTGGGAAGGGAGGGACAAGGGGGAAAAAGGAACATCACCATTAGCAGACAATGTGGGGGTGGGGGCCACAGGGAGGGCTGTACAACACAGAGAAGACAACTAGTGATTCTATAGCATCTTACTATGCTGATGGACAGTGACTGTAATGGGGTATGTGGTGGGGATTTGTTGATGGGGGGAGTCTAGTAACCATAATCATGCAATTGTAGATTAATGATACCAATAAATAAATAAATAAATTCACCAGGGTTTGTTAATCAGCATCTCTTCTGTTGATAGTTTCCTGATGTTTTGTGTTCTTAAATCTTTGTTGTTACACTCTTATTTAGGCTAAGGTTCCTGTGACAGAGAGTGGGTTTCGAAGTATGGTGTCTTCTTGCTTTACCATCACTGACAGCAGGTGGAGACCTGCTCCCTTAAATGCTATACTTAGCGGATTTGCAAATAGGCTGCAGCTTTCTCCTCTGCTGCAGAGCCACAGACAGGAGGTCAGAAACTGCATCTCCACCCTCTTCATCAAATTATTACCTGCCCTGTCCATGTGAGGATTTGAGTTTTCAGTCCTGTATAGGATGCCATGAAGAGTTAACCTTATGTTGAGTTTTATTTGAACTTATTTAAAAATAGACAATTTGTATATAATTTAATATACTTAATAATTGTGTAATACTTATTTTAATATATAAATTTTATTTATAAATTAAAATTCTTTTAAAATTACTTAAAAGTAGTTGAAAGGATTGGAAACAGTGAAAGTATTCAAAAGATATAGTTTCAAATCCCAGCTCCTGTCAATATCATTTTATAAAAGAAGGAGCATTTCAACATCTTCCCTCACCTGTACACAGGAGGGAAGATAGTCATAATCTTATAAGTTGAATGATTTCTGCTTTATGAAAAATACATTGCATTATTCTTATTTTTCTAATTTTGCTGAGGACCAATAAAAATATTACACAAGGACTGGCATCAGTTATTGGGCAGACATTTGAAAGACATCTATTTTATTTTTCTGAAACTTAATTTGGCCATCTGTAAAAGTTATCCTCTATTCTGCATCTAGCATTAGTGCTGACCACTTCACAGTTTGAAGAGGATCTGCTGGGATGGTCAGTGTGTTTATGCTCAAGAGTCCCAGAGCCATGAGTCAGGAGAGAAGAGGAGGGGGGCTCCAGCCTGCACATGGGCCCGAGGTCTATAGGTCCCAGGCTGGCAGAGGCAGAGGTGGGTGATAGAGTTGCATGATCCTCTTTTCCTTAGAAGTTCAGGTGACTTAGGTCCCCACCAGCCAATTGGTTCTTAGCTCATATTCTTAGGAGATATCTGGAAGAGCAGGAACAATAAAAGGATAATATTTGGGTTACAATCAGGATATTAATATATACACAGGTTTGGTTTCAGGGGCAATGGAAACCTCTCCCAAATAGCTCTCCATCTTCTTGCCAATCTTACCTGAAATTCTTTTAAGTATAATTGTTTAACATGCAAATACTATAGAACCCAAGACAAATTCTTTCATAACCACAAACATGGTGCTTCCTATCTGCCAGATACTGTTCTAAGTGATTTGCCTAGATTTAGTCATTTTAACCTCACACTGTCCTATGAGACGGTTGTGGTGTCATTACTCTCATTTTACAGGGAGTAAACTAAGGTAAAGAAGCTGTGTCATTTGCCAAGGTCATTGGTGGAAAGTGGTGCAGTCAGGATTTGAGTTCTAGAATCCTTGCTTTTAGCCATTCTGCTAGACTGCCTCTGTCGTAAAGTGGAAATGGTACCACCACACCCTTTCCTGCTGTGCTGAGGGGGAGGCCAGTGGGAAGCCAGGCCAGAAGGCACAAGGTACAAGCACTCACGGGAGAGGATGCCAGGAATGGAGACTGAGCACTAGAAAGGCGAACTCTGCAGAAAACACCTCCATCTGGTCCTCCTCTTTCACTCTGCACATGGTAGAGGTATTTGTTGTGGGGGCAGAGTGGGGGTGGGAGGATAATGCTGATTTCAACCCTCCAATCTTTTCAAACCACTCAGCAGCTGCCTTCTACTTGTTAGATCCTCTATCTAGAAACTTTTTAGTGGAAATATAAAGTGTCATCTCCCCCCAGTGAATATAATAGTCTTAGACTTAAACTCACCACCTCTCTTTCTGTAGAAGACCCAGAACCAGAAAGCTGTTCAATTGCCCCTTTGTGTTATGGACTTTTAACTACTCCTTGGCCTCCTATCCTGCCTTACAGGCTTCCCTCCCTTCTGTAAACAGCCTTCGCGTCCCAGCTGAGCTCCCCAGCATGGAATTGTCAACAGGGAGGGAACACAGGCCACCACAGCAGAATACCAGATGGAGCTGGAGCTCTTCAGTGGAACCTGACTCTTCAGTAATAGGAGGCTGAATACAAAGCCCACCATCAGGAGCAGCTTCCACACAGACATTAAGTATTCCCCAAATTGAACACTTTCTATGTCTTGTGGCTTGATCCAGACTGGTTTGCCTTATAATTTCTTGGGTACGTATCTGTCTTCCCCACTGGAGTCTAAACTCCATCAGGGCAGGCTATTTAATATTTTTCTTCCACAAAGTAAATTCTACATAAAAAGTGTTCAACCAACTTGACACCAGTGGGACTCCAGCTTTCTGAGAATTTGACAATGGGCTCACACATCACTGACAGGATTCCAAAGAAGGAAGACACCATCAACCAGAGGAGTGAGTCACCTCCAGGACCACTGGGGCAGGGGGGACTGGAGATCTCCTCTTCTTTTGCCAGGTCCCTGATAACGCTCTGCTCTCCAGGCCACTTACGTACAACTGCATGTTGAGAAGGTGGAGTGAAGGTAGCTGCTGGCAGGTTTTGCTCCACACTTGTAATTCTGGTGAAGAAATTCCAGAGCTTTCATTGCTCCTTCTACACCTTGCTCCCCCTAGAGTCATTGTAGGGTCTTTTCCATTCTGAGCATTTGTTCAGGAATGCCCATGATCCTCCTCCCTAACAATTTGGCTCTGTTGGAATGGCTGACTCTATTTGGAATTCCATGAAGAATCTTATAAAACCTGGTAGTTGGTAGAGATGACATGCCCTGACTTTATTTTGCAGAGACAAGCCCAGGAACTTCACATGCCAGCAATCCTCTTTATGGCACCAGAGAGACAGGACTTGCACTCTTGACAGGCTTCACTCCACAGGGATGGCCAGTTGGGCTTGTTTAAGTCAGCATCACAACAGTTTGGGTAAGTGGGCACTAGAGGCTAAGGTGAAACCGTACCCACTTATTCATCAAAACTGCCTAGTTGGTTTTATCTTGATTCAGAAACTGCTTTCTTTTCAACTGACTGCTTGATCCCAGAGTCTAAGATCTCAAAGTTAAATATCAAACAGGAGACTGAAATGCAAGCCATTTTAAAGAAGACATAAATACAATATTTGTGGGAGTAGGGAGTGGGCAAATATTCTTATTTTTTTTAAACCAGGGGAACAGTCCTTTTGAAAATTCATATGAAAAAGATGTATACCCTTAGCCTTCTAAATCGAAAGTGGCATTTAAGTTTAAGTTCTATTTTTTCTTAATGTCAGAGAAGTTTTGAGACATTTCTTATTCATTCTCCAATACTTTATCAGATCTTCAGACTATTTCAAAGGCAGCGATGTTAATACTTATAGCGGAGTGGGGTCTTTGCAAAGGAGCTCATTTGCCTAAAATGTCTGGGAAATCATGTCCAAACAAAGACATTACTAAAAACATTTCCTCAGGTATTAAAAAAAAAGTGTGGTTTATTCACTCAGAACTTGGATTTCTTTGAGATGTCGAGTGTTCTTTTAAAAGCCTGCTTTTATTTGGTAGAAATCTCATCCCAGCTGCAATAATGGGACATGCTGATCTGGAGCCCTTAGTGAGTTGACAGCCATCCACATGCAGAGCTACAGTGCTTTTGGTCTCCTGCTTTGTGGGCAGGGATAACAGGATAACCCACAGGATTTACCCACAGGGTACATCCCAGAAAATTCACCAGAATGTCTTGTGCTAATAGTTTAATGGAATTCTCCCTCCAGCACTTTCTGACAGGGCATGGAGATTTTCTTCAGTGTCATCACACTTCAAGAGTGATTGTGTTATCCAGGTGCAGGTGTTCTTGCCTGGCCTTTACCTGTTGTCTCCTCATGTCACATATAGCCAAGAAAGCAGATGACAGGTTCATCTCTCTTACAAGGGGAATTACCAAGTGGTTGCCTAGCAACTCGGCTCAAGCAACACAGTCTGTGTGGTGGAATGTAGTGTGGTTGGCTTTCAAGAATGTTTGTATTTGCATATTTCTTTTGGGCTTCTAGAAAAAATGGTATGTTTTCTTGGAGTTGAGGTTATTAAAATGGCCTTTTGTATTGCTTCACCCGGGTATTCATTTTATAGTGGCCCATTATCCTAAAAAGGACAATTATCTGGTCAAATCATTACCACAAATTCAATTCAGTAAGCAGCTTCTATGTGCTAGATGCTATGGTATACCATAAGGAGTTGTAAGGGTGAACAAGTATGGTCCCTGTCTCAGGGAACTTCTATGTTTAGTAAATGTGTATAAGCATTTGTTTACACATGTGAAACAGACAGCTATGATGGGTATGTAAAATAAAGGTATTTTTATTTGGAACAGTTCGTTTGTGTTTGATCAAAGGATTTTTCACTTTTATTTAGATTCCTTCCTTTATAGCTTACAGCTGCAGTCAGTTCAATAAGCTGCAATCAGTTCAAAATCACTTTTAAGACACAGCTCCTATTGGAGTCTCAGTAATTAGCAGCTCTTACACAGCTCTTCTTGGAGTGTGACACTGCCGATGTTGTTGGATAGGGTGCTGCCCTGTATCTACTGCCGTCTTTCTGCATAATTGCTGCCAAGGTGTTCACAGCCTCCCCACCTCTATTTTACACGCTTCAGTTTAAAAGAAACCCCATGTCGTTCTTTGTTTACTTTGCAGCAGCGCCATAGGCCTCCCTCTCTCCATGTAAGGAGGGCTTTGGAATGTTCCAGATCTTGCATTAGGGAGTCTTTGGATCACTTGTGCCAAGTTCTTTCCCACCCACTGTGGAGACGGTTGTGAGACAGCGCCTGGGGTTTGACTAACCCCTTTCCCTTGAGTTCATTTGTCTGGTGGGTTGGTTTAGCATCTTCTTCCTCAGGAAGGTGCCAGGGCCCGGTGAAGTAGCTATTCCTGGCAGCACTGGTACACAGTCCTATACACACTCATTGGAGGCCCCTCCTGAGTGGACCGTATTAGGAATCCACACAGAAAAGAAGACGCTTTTGGGGTAATGGTCCTGTGGCACCGATGTGCCCTCCGCCGCCTTTGGTAAGCACACTTTGCTCTCTCTGTGCTCCCACATCCCAGGGCAGCACCTGCATGTTGCTCATTTTCTCCACCATCATTCCTTCAAATCCTTTGCCATTCGCAAGAAATCATTCAGACCTCTTGTCTTCACATAGAGCACCTAACTTTTGCTTCCAGACCCACTGTCAGGCAGAAGGAAGGGTTAAAGTAGAGAAGGGGACTGTATAAGATCAGGCACAAAAATGTTTTCCTTATAGAACCGCATTGCACCATCAACTTCATGTAGCCCCTCATTGCCCATTCCACAAATGAAGCTCAAAAAGTGCTGACGTGTATGGCTTTTATGAGCACCACCATACTTTCCTGCCTTGATGCAGCTTTTCACTTACAATCAAACCAACCAACATTTACTAGGTACTGTGTACCTCCTAAGGGTCAAGGAAGCAGTAAAGAATAAGATACTCTCTCTCTACCCAGAGAAATTCACAGACCAGTTTTAAGTGCTATAATGAAGATATGGGAGCACGGACAGAAGGTCAGCGAATTCAGGCAAAGGGTGGGCATTCAGGAACAGATATGTAGGGAGCCATTTAAACTAGATCTGGAAGGTTGGCAGACAAGGGAAGCCTCTCTGTTTACTTTTAAAAATGGGCCAAGAGCAAAGAACTTGTTTCCTTTGATGTTGGGAAATCCTTTATTGCTCTAATTAAATCCTTTACACTGCAGTTTGCTCTGTAGTTCCATATTTACTCTCATTCCAGTTTCAGTTGAAATAGCAAAAAATCTTTGCCTAATAACCTAGTCACTCAGAAGCCTTTAGCAAATCCTATCTGCCCTGACATAGGAAACAACTATTTATTTTCTTCCCATCCCCAAATCCTGCAGCTAGACTTCTTAGCTGCTGCCCTAGAAACAATTTCTGAGAGACTCCCTCCCCGCTGCATGGCCCATCCTCGAATGATGGGGGGAGATAGGGCAATCAGCTAGAGGGGGCCCCCAGATAATCTCCCCCCCAGATAACTGCATTTAGAAGGAGACTGCACTGTAAGCGTGTTGCATGGCACCTTCACTACAAACAGAATTTTTGAAGTTGAATGACACAGAAGAGAAGAATACAGTTCAGTGTTTCACAATACCCCACTACCAGACTTCACCAGCCTATAGATTGTCCTATTGATATCCAGACCGAAATTTCATTAGCTCCAAGCCCTCTTGAAGGTCTGTCAAACTTTATACTCATCTCTTCCCTTGCCAACTCATCCTCAGTTACTTCTGGAGGCCCCTGAGGCATAGTTTATAGGCAGACCAACTTATTCTTCCACTGTAACCAACCCACTGGTGGTCTTCTCTCCACACCCCCTACAAAAGGGTACCTCGCCAGCATGTGCACACTCTGTAAACAGACTGCTCATATAATGGGCACTCCTGATGCCATGCTGGATGCAGCATGCTCTCCTGGGGCCACTCTAGGCCACCAAGTAGCCAAAGTGGAGGGTGGGGTGGAACAGTGGGGAATGAATGAACCTCTTGCTGATTGGCTGTTCTTGGCTACCTGTGTCCCATAGCACAATTGCTTGTATCCTTGGTTACTCTAAGTCTTACATGACTACTCCTCCCTCACTGGGGCTGGACTGAGTCTTCTAGGCCAAGATGGGGAATGACAGTTCATCAGTTCCTTCCATCACTCTTCTCTTTCTCTCTAGGGAGCTCTGCACTCAAATAAAACAACTCTAACAAAATAAAACTCCAAACCTTTCTACTTCAATAAAATATAACAAAAGTGTGTCCACTGATGCAAAGAGATAATAATACTTGAGTTGATGGTGTTCTGTAAACTCATCCCATGAGGGTTTCTTGTATAACTTGAGGTAATGAGTACCCAACCCATTCTTAAAGGTACCTCTAATTTCCATTAGGGATATAATGCATGAAAAGCTCCCATCTTATGGGCAATCTGTGAGAACGCCATTTCAAGAGAAATCAGCAATGATTGCAGACTGAAACTTAACATTGTCTTGTCAATTGGGGTGCTTGCTGTACAAGAATTTTTCTGTAGACTCTAAGAAACATCTGTAACTCCCCCCCAACCCCACCCAAACAAATGCGAAAAAGAAACCTACACAAACTAAACTCTTCAGAACCAGATAATGCAAAAGACAAGGAACAGAAATGGGATTGCCCTAAAAGTAGAATTCATGATACAGTGAACAGAGCCCAGGGTTCAATTAAAGATCTCAGTTGAATACAAGCTTTACAAGCTGGAGTCTGCTGAGAAAGTCCCTTGACCTCTCTGAGCTGCTATCTCTCATTTCTAAAATGGACTGATAATAATACCTGCCCTCCTTTCCAGGGTTGTGAGAATGGAATGGGATAAAATAAATATACTATAAATAAAAGTGCTTTGCGAATGGTAAAGTGTTTGTTATTCTCTAACGGCAAGCTGGAAGAAATCACAGCAGCTCAGTGATGTCAATGAGGCTCTCTAGTTTGGGGGAGTTTATTTTAGGGTGTGTCTCTGTGCCCACACATCACGCCACCTGTGTGTCCAGCACAGATGTGAGGCCTAGGGCTGACAGAACCCATCCTGATATATTATCTTGTTTAAGGAACAGTGGAAAATCTGGTGAGGCCAGCCCTAGGACCAGAAAGAATGGGAATGACAGTGTCTAGATGATTATGTGTGTGCTCACTGACATAGTGCATCAATCAAATCCCCTCTTTCATCAGAGGCCAGCTCTCTGGAACCACTTCTCCTCTCAGAATCATTGCCATGTTTTCCCAACAATATCATCCTTCATACCAAGAGCATTGTGATGCAGAGTACTGTACTATTATCTCTGGGATTTTTTCCAAGCCACGGACACTCTTTCTTCGAGTTTTAATACTGGCATTTTGCTTTCCCTTACCAGAAAGAGCCTGCATATTCAGGAAGTGACAAACACCAGTACTGCTGAAAGCAGAAAAAGCAGAGCCCCTGTCTCTGCCCGGAGCCCACTCACCACTAGCACAATTTATTGTGATAAGAAGAGGAATGTGTCATATGCCTGGGAAGTCCAGCTTGTGTCCTTAAATGGTCATGACTTTAGCATTAAAAGGTTTTGCAGCACGACTGGCCTCCATCAAAGACCCAACCCTGCAGCAAAGGCTGATCTAAGTCTAGGCATCCCTCACCCATCTCTTCAGTCAGCTCCACCCCTCAAGGTGACCCCCGACCTCACCTCTGGCTGACCATCAAGCCCAGAGCGCTGCAGGATTGGGGGTAGGGGATGAGAGGGTGGGCAGGGGTCTCATTGCTAACAAGGATGGCCCCACAGCATCTGCGCAAGTGCACCGGTGGCCCTCTTTAAGACTTGGGCAAGGGCTGGGGACCAGCGAGGGACTGTGTTCTGTTGCCTGGAAAACCAGGATTCTTCAGCAAAGGGATCTGCCCAAAGTCTAGAATATAAGCCAGCAACTTGCTTTACACCTTCTTCAAAAGGCAAAAGAAACTGTAGAAACTGGCTGTTATGGCCTAAGTATATTCTAAGTTCAAAGTCAAGTGTTCTGTTACCACTGTTACTTGTTTTAAAATCCCCCTTTCAGTATTAGTGTTGGCCAATGAGGGTGTCTAGGATCAGAAATATGTAGGCTCTTTATCAAATGAACACAAAACATCACTTCCACATGTGAAAACTTAACAAAGGGAAACCTCACTAACAGGGCCGAGTAAGGTCCAGCAGGGGTCGCTCTCAGGCCCTACCATATCGCCTTAGCTTTACTGGCCACCAGGAGGGAGGAAGGTTTCTGCCTCTCTGCAACAGGCCAGCCAGTGAGAGACTGTCACAACCTAGCCAATGAGCAGCCACAATACTTGGAACTCCCAATTTCCTCCAATGGGCTTTTTGTTTATAACAGCCCCTCCCAAGTTCACCCTTTCATCTATAAAGGAGCTTTTAGTCTCCTTTGTTCTCTGAACTTCCCTATGGTTTTACACTATCTTGCTTGCTCTGAATTGTAATTCTCTGCTATTGCCCAATAAACCTGCTTTTGCTGAAAAAAAAAAAGACTGAGTTTTATTTTCAAGGTTAACTCACACAATATGCAATTTCTAGGACAAAAACTCAGTACAGATCAAATAAATGACAGTATTTGGCTGCCATTCTTCAAGTAAAGGCTGCCATTCTTCAAAAAGCTAACATGAGTTATCATAAAATCCAGCAGTTCCACTCCTAGGTATATACTCTACAGAATTAAAAACATAAGACCACACAAAACTTATACATGAATGTTCACAGTAACATTATTCCTAGTAGCCAAAAGGTGAAAACAATCCAAATGTCCACCAACTGATGAGTGTATGAACAAAATGTGGTATAGCTATATAATCATTATTTAGCAACAAAACATAATAAAGTAATGATACTTGCTACAAAATGGATGGATGTTGAAAACATCATGCTAAGTAAAAAGTTAATTGTAAAAGAGCACATATTATATGAATCAGTTTATACAAAATGTCCGTAATAGTCAAGTCTACTGGGACAGAAAGTATATAAGTAGTTGCTTAGGGATAGAGGACTTCGTGACTGCTCATACAACTGTCCTGTTATGATTTGTGTACTTTTAAACATTTCATGTTTCAATAAAAATGTTTATTAAAAGAAAATTTGTGAAAAAAAAAGGCAAGTAAAGGCTGAGATAGAACATTGGCATGGTGTTCTTAAAAGATTATTAGGTGCCCAGTGTTTAGTAAGTGTAATGGTGTGCTATTGTGTCTTGTAGTGGGTGATAGGAAATTGAAAAGATATGGATGATTTTTGGATCTTGACAGAAAGAGATGGTTCCTGGCAATAAGGAATCTCCATGTACATTAATTGGACAATAAATGCATATATAAGCAGCATTTCTCTTTCCATTATTCTTAATCTTTATTGATAAATCACTATACCTCAATGGGCTTATGAATATTGTACAATGCATTAATTTTGAATTAATTCATTTATATAAACAGGAGTCCCACAAATGTGTTTTTCTGGGGCCTGACCTAAGGTGGCCCCTGATGACCCCTGACTGGCCAGTGGCATGATGGATTTCAAAGGTAATTAGAATATGAAAAAAAAAACCAAACCAAAAACTTGTATCTTAAAAAGATGAAATGTAATGATTTAGTGGCTTAGAAAAGACAAAAAATTCTTTCTTTCTCACTTGAGATACTTATTCTAGGATGGTTGGAGGCTCTGTGCCACATGGTCATTCAGGGATCCAGGTTCCTTGCATCTTCCTCTGTCATCCTCTAGGGCATCATTCTCAGTTGCATGGTCAAAGCTGGGACTCAAGCTAGTTTATGTCTGGTGCAAGGGAGGGAGAAAGAGTGAGCATCAGGCAGGCCTACTATCTTCAGTCATAGGTCTGGTCATCTCTTCTGTTCAAATAGTGCAACTTAGTCACATGGTCACACCTAACTGCAAGGGAGACTGGGAAATGCTGGACAGCTATGGCCCCAAATACAAATGTGTTACTATGGAAGTAGGGGAGGAAGAGTCTTGGTGGAACTCTGGTAGTCTCCATTTTAGGAACCATTTGAATGAATCATCTCAGTGGCTAGTTTGTCCTAAAGACACATAAGAGAGCTTTCATTTGTCACCTGGAGTTTGATTTGAACAATCATGGCACAACCTTTGTACTGCCATTCAGCATAGCCATCCCTATTATTACCTCTCACCTTGATGGGTTTAATAATGATGAACTTGTTTTTAGGATAAAGACTGTGGTAGCTCTCTTGCTTTTTGTCATACAGAATTCTTTCACCTGTCCTCTGGTAGTGGTACCCTGATTTTCCTCTTGGGAGCCCCACTTATACATCTTTTATGTCCTGCATGCACAGTTGACTGTACTACCAGACCCATGGGTGGGTGTGTGACTGCAGCCTGGCCAGTTAAGCCATCACATTCCCTGGCCATGGTGTTTTGCTCGGTGACAAACCCATGGTCCAATCAGAGCCAATGAAGTGCAATGAGACTTTTTCTAGGATTGCAGAGAGAAGAACACTTCGCATTTTCCTTCCACATTCTCAAACCTTGGAAGATACAGGACTGGTAGCCATCTTGCCCCTACAAGAAGAGGATGTGGAGAAGAGCAGAGTTAAGAGATAAAGATAAAACCAAGTCCTGGTGATACTGTTTGAGTCCCTGGGCCAAGCTAGGCCTGTGCCAGCACTATGCTTGGTCTTCTCAGGTACATGTGACAGCATCCAACCCCCTCTGAATTCATTCAGAGTTGAATTTTTGTCATTTGGTGCAACCAAGAGAGCACTAACTGATATACAGACCACATAGACCTGGATGGGGTTTGGCTTTTTTTTCTTTCTTTGCACAAAGTGAAGATTCCCTTGTGATATGTATGGCCCAGCTCTACCCTGGATTTCCTTAGCTGTCTGGTCACTGCATGGGCACTGCTCCTAGCCAATGCTTCTCAACCAAGAATGATTTTGGCTCCCAGGGACATTTGACAATATCTACAGGCAATTTTGTTTGTCACAGTGTGTGAGAGGGAAATGATGGGGGCTGCTGGCACCTTATGGCTGGAGGCCAGGCTTGGTTCTAAACACCATACAATGCACAGGGCAGCTCCCACGGCAAAGATTATTCGGCCCAAAGTGTCAGCATGGCCAAAGCTGATAAGCCCTGACAACCCCACAGGAGCTCAGATACTCTGGAGTTACTCCCCAGTGCAACATGCTTGGGACACTGCGGCCCCCTGAAGGGGCTGTGGCCTCAGCAGGGAAGGCCTCACCCTGAGACCCTCCTGGGCTTGCCAGCTCCAGGCAGAGATGGTGACTTGTTCATGATTAAGCTCTTCAGGAAACTGATCCAAGAAGGCTCCGTTGCCTGGAGGCGATTGTGACGGTCTCTTGGCACCAGGGTCTGGGAGAGAGAAAAATGGGTGGCCTGGTGATATGAGAGTTTATTTAGGGCCTCATATCTTCTCAAGAGTGTTAGGTGCCCTGTCTCCTACAGACTGAAAAACCAAGCCTGTTTAGGTCCTGAAATACCGCTGTTACATGAACACAACAAATACTTTTTACTGAAATAGTGAACCAGGGCCTCTATTCCCTGAAGTCTCTGTGCTGAGAAGACATCTTTTCTAGAAGCTGTGATGGTGAAATGCCCCTGCTTTCTAGGTCCACATCTCCACTTGCATTCCAGCCCACGCCTCTGCCTAGCCCTCCGTGCTAGGAACTTCCTGGTGGGTATCTGATCAGCAGACCAGCGCTCTGAAGGCCCTGATTCTCCGGAGTCCCTGCTCCTGCCTGGTCCTAGTGCCTTCCCTCGAGGGCATTCTTGACAAAGCCTGACTCCTAAAAAAGGATAGAATAAGTCCCAAGCTTGGGGCAAGGATAGTGAGAGGGGGGAGACTCATGGGCAGCCTTTTTTACTTTTTCTTTTTTTTTCAAAAATAACAAATAAGACACAGGACAGATCAGAGCATGGCTTCAATGTCCCTGGGGAATTAAACATTTTTTGTGGAAATTTCTCCCCGAATGTTTTCTCTTGGCTTTGCCCAGATGCCTCCCCCATTGAGTGGACTTTGCACAGAGCTTTCGAAAAACAGCTTTTGTTCCCAGGCTGAGCTGTATCCTCCCAGGAACCTTTCTTCCAGCACACGCAACCCATAGCTTATGCTTTGCCTCCCCTACCCGGGTGAAGCCAGGCCAAGCCCCGGTGAGAGTTGGGAGGGTGTGGGTGTTCTGCACCCGGACAAGGAGTCCTCTTTTTGTTGCTGTTCTTGGTGTCATTTCCAGACAGATAGCTAGGAAAAAATAGTAAACAGTCTTCAATTCTGGACAGAAGCTGAGATGGAATTTTCTTTAGGAACCTCCTTGAAGGTCAAGGCTCTGACCCAACTTCTCTTGAGAAAGCTTGAGTTCAGTGAAACCAATCCGTTGAATGTGATGTAATCAAAATGCAACTGATTTTGGCCTCTCACCATCCGTTTGAACTATTCAGCAAGGGAAGGTATTTTCCTTCCCCCTGGGGGAGAGCCCAGCCCACCCAGGCCTCTTCTGATCAGGTTCAGATAATGTCATTTTATATCACAAAATCTACAATCAATTAGAGATTTAAAGCTTCCAGTCATAGATATGAAAGGAATTTCATCTTGCTACAGGATTAACTCTTCCGCTTCCTGCTCTAAGGTCTGGAGTTAGGGCTGCCACCGCCAGGCCCTGGGGTGTGCTAAGCTTTTGTGTCTTCTCACCTGACCACCCATCCCCTTCCCCACTTACTGGTTGCTTCCAAGGTCTAAGTAGGAGGGGCAGGAGGGAAAGAAGCGAGGGAAAGGGGAACAGGGCGATCGTTACTTGACTGTACAGTTGTCAGCTCTCTGGGCCTGGCAAATGGTGAAAGCTGTTTTCAAGGCGATGTCCTGCCCTTCAGAGGTTTCCACCTCAGGGCCCTCTCCTGAGGTTCCCAGGCTGCATCTCTGTTCGGGGTAATGACTGTGACTTCGTCTTCAGCCCCCAAGAAACCAGCATTCCCCTCCAACTTTTTCCTGGTGAGATCCTTTTATTCCCTAGGAGGCGCCACAGGTCTTACACTAACCCTATGCTGGCCCTCTCTCCCCCATGCACCACATCTGGCCAGGGGAAGCACTCAATGGCCTTTGCCCCAATCCCAGTACAGCCCCTCCTTTTGACACAGGCCCGTGGGTGCCCACAGCTTGAACGACTTCGTGGAAGCCCCCACCACAGGGCTTGAGATGAACGTGGTAGGGCACCCACCTCCACCTCCATTGGGGCATAACTCACAGAAGAACTCTATTTCCAATCTTCCCATTTTCTACACTCTGACTCTTTTCCTATTTTTGATAGGCCCAGGGGCCCAAGTGCTTGCAGTTGGTTCTCCATTGTTTCCTTTGTAAACACTGCATGTGAGGGTGTGTCTCATGCTCAATTTGCTATTTGATATTGTGGTAGCCTACTCCAGAATGGCCTCTCACCTCCAGATATTCACATCCTGTGCAGTCTCCTCCCGCCCTGAA